ATCACGCTATGTGGGTTGTGCTTGTGTAGCCAGGCTACTAAATTATTTTTTCAACATGGCGGCGTCCAAAGTTTAAACGGTAATTTTATTGTTTGGATTGTTTGTTTGGTAATGTTATTGTTTGGATCATTGTTTGGATTTGGACGATGCCGTAAGTGGTGAATTCAAACTTTGTTTTGGTAGGGACTTTAATTGTTTCTATAGCGTGCCTATCCTATGACGAACTTCTGTTTCATCAAGTATCAATTATTTTACTCCTAGGTATAAAGGAATGTGGCTCGCTCTCTAATCCCAAACCTTTTATAGTACGATTTCGTATGATGTGCATGGCTGAAGTGCTTTGGTTTGCTGTGAACAATGGTCTGAGGAGTGAGTGCTGCCTGTCTGTAATTAACGCTGTCAACGAACCTTTGGTGAATATGTTAGAGGAGATAATCCAGGTAACCTTAAGAAGTGATCAAAATAGTAGGGTGAAGCAACTGAATGCTTAATTTAAACGTTGAGTGAGGTGTGCATCTCGCCAGAATGGAACTTCCGCGTTTAATTGTGTTTCCGTGGTGATGTCTCCTTCATGTCATTCCCTTGAGAACACGCCAGGGCCAGACCTAGCCAGACTGTCTTAGAGTTAAACAGTCCCGAAAGATTTTAAAATCATTAACCAATCTACGCCAATCGTGATACATATTTTAATTTTAATTTTTTAGTATTTCAACTAAACTGCCTTTCCACTCTCAGGACTAGAGTAATTGTATAAAGCAGATCTGTCTTTACTTCTGTAAATTTATACAAAAATTACTTGGAATGCACATCAAAATAAGACTCATTCCGTGCCCTGTACACATCTTATATACAATTATTGGCACGCAATATGAGGTCGCATATTTGTCCTTGGACATTGTTTGTTTCGAGAGTTGATTAGTTTCTTAGAGCTTCGCTTTCCGGAAGCTGTTCACTTCCCGGAACTGATAATGTCCAAGGGAAAAAATACGGGCGTCTTTTCGCGTCAAATGGAGGCTTCTGTGTTAAGTGTTCTCTGGTGCGACTTAAATACATTCCTTCTTCTTTAACAACAGCAAAAAACTCTGTTATTTTGAATTATATTTCAAATAAGACTTTAAATCATATTGGACGTAAAATTTGTCAATTCGGGAATATCACACAATATTTTTATTTTTATGACTGCTTTTGTTTTGTTAGGTGAAGGATGCGGTTCACCCATGGCTCACAAAATGTGCCAGCGACTTGTTAATAATTGTACGAAAACCAATGGATAGTGACTTGTCATAGTAAATCTTATGTTACGGAACCGTTTTCATCCCATCGTTACTTTTCCTAACTTGAATTTTGGCTCGTAGTAAATCGTAGTTTTACCTGATAGCACTGTGTCCTCTGTTTCTATCTACAATACAAGTACGAGGCTTGGTGTGGAGTAGCGTTGCCCGATCACATTTCTTTCCGGTTACTGGCTGATCAGATTTTTCGCATTAAGATCAAGAAAGTAAATCCAGGCGATTCAATCCTTTAATGATCTCCGAAGATCAATTTCACTGAGTAATTTGTTTGTGACTGGCTCGAATGAGGGAAAAGTAAAGGAGTGTAGAGCAACGACGTCTCTGGGAACTACTGCTTGGTAGAACAATTATTCAGAATCCTAATTTGTTTTGTAATTTCATCTCGTGCATGATTTCGATTTGTTATATCTTCTCAAAGGGATAACAAACACGAGAGCCCGTAACCATATCACCGCATCACTGTTTTTGGCGTTCTTTAGTTAGAGGATATTGAACATTCCGGATACAGGAGCAAATGGTAATCCTTACTAGTGGTATTTAGAAGATACAAAACGCTGCACTGTATATGACTCTCATCTACTTAAAGAACTGGTGTTGTAAAAAAAATAAATAAGAAGGGTCATTTTGATGCGTAAATCTAGAAGGGATTTGCAATTACTCGATTAGAACTCTGGATTGTCTTTATCCATTAAAAAGAAAAAATTAAAAGTGCCTATTAAAGAACAGTTATGCTCAGATTCCATTTCATGGGTGTGTATATCAAAAGAGTATGGATTCTATTGAACTGTTTGTCAGAGGGGTGCCTGCCCTATAACGGTTCAAAAATTGTCTATGCACAGGGATGTCTGCTTCAATTCTTGTCCACAAGAGAAAGATGATATCATTGGAGAGGTATCTTCATTTGCAAAGTGCTCTTTCGCAATATAATTCTTTGGTGTCACGTATTTCGGATGGTTGCTAGGTTGCTCAAACAAATACAATTGTTATATACCAAAACTTTCACTTAGCAAAACGAGCACTGTGATTGGTTGATTCTTGGCCGAGGAATGATCAATCCCTGATCAAATTCAAATGTATCCCAACCGGTATACAATTGTGCAGTTGTTGCCCGCGCACCGAATACAACAGCATGTTTTTGCCATATGATTGTTTGAGGGAAAGTCTAAATATGTAACCAAGCACCCAATATATGGTCCCTCGGGAAACTAGTTAGTTTTGTTTTCCCTCGTATTCTGATATTTCCCGAGACTTCGTCTCGGGAAACATCAGGACTATCAGGAAGCAAAACTAGCTGTTTCCCTCGGGACACTAAAGCTCCATTTACACTAAAGAAATTCAGCACGGCTCGGCAAACGAAGTAGCACGGCTCGACTAAAAAGTAGCACGGGCCAAAGGCGTTTACATTTAACTTTTTATCCGTGCTCTTTTCTGTTTATCAAAGTAACTGGCACGGGTAACTTTAGTCCCATTTGCTGAGCCCTTGTGGGTCTTGGTCAGCGACAAAAAGATCTCAGAATGAACAATTTCCAACATGGCGACTGTCAGTGCCATGCTTGTCCTTTCGAGATTGCGCCGTGGTGAACAGGGCGAATTCGAGAGCTTAATAAAGAAACGTCAGATACCAAAAGGAAAACGCAAGAAATTGATGATGTTGATGATAGCATTGGCTATCGTTGTGAATCCTCCGAGAGATCGAACTCTTTGGGTCGGACCCAGAACTGATGCCTGGATCGCAATGGCTTAAAATGAGTTCTCAGAAAAGCAGTGGCATGAACACTTCCACTTGTCTAAAGGAACCGTTCTTTACATTGTAAATGAATTGGAAGATGATATTACTCGCACAGATTCGAAATTACGGAAAGCGATTCCCACATTTCAGCGAGTGGCTTTGACAATTTATTTCATGGCATCCACCGCAGAATACCGTTCCGTGGCTAATTTGTTTGGAGTATCACGATCCTTTGTTAGCCTTTGCGTAAAAGAGGTCTGCCAGGCCATCGTTAAAAGGTTAAAATCAAGATATATCACCATACCGAAAGGAGACGACTTGAAACAAGTGATGGCAACTTATAAAGAAAAATGGGGCTTCCCCATGTGTGCGGGAGCCATAGATGGAACTCATGTCCCGATAAAGGTCCCCTCACAAAACCACACGGACTACGTAAATCGAAAGTCTTATCACAGTATTATCATGCAGGCTTTAGTGGACTCACGGTACTTTTATAAGTAATCACATGATTTCGAGTGCAATTTGGAATAAATAAGCACGAGTAAATTTTTTTAAAGACTAACAAAACAATAATAGGCAGTGATATCTTCACATCTTTAAGGTGCAAGAAAGTTCAAAGTCCGACTAAACAGTCTAAGGAATAGTTCAGTCTGTGTCCGAAGCACTTTCGATGAAATGGAAACGTCTTTTCCGAGGTTTAACTATGACTGTTTTTAATTTCGGCGTTGGATCGCTCGAGCAAAGTGTTAAGCTGGGTCGGCTCGTAATTTTCGATTTCCTTGGCAATTCCCTTCTCTAAACACCACTTTTTCCAAACTGACAACCAAAAAGCAGTGCTTTTTATAGTGTTTTCGTTGTTTAAGCTGTTTTTCAGCTGCGGTGGCGAAAGAAAACCTACTTAAAACGCCGGCCATTGTTTCGCTCGCAAATTTTCAAATTTTCAAATTTTGTTGCGCCATCCAAGGCTCGCATTTGATTGGCTATCTGTGAGTTTCTTTGATTATTGACCAATCAGAATGTCTGATTTGTTTCTTTCTTTGCACTGAATTAACCCTCTTCTGCACTGAATTAACTCTCTTCTGCACTGAATTACCTGAAAACTGCATTTATCTTAATCAATCAGAACTGAGTAATTTTTCCATGTATATTATTAATTTAGGGACATTGTAGTTGGCTGGTCCGGAAGCGTGCATGACGCACATGTGTTGTCGAATTCCGAAACATATAAACTGGGGAATGATGGTGCCCTCTTTCCTGATTTCAAAGAGACCATACTAGGCCAGGATATCCATCCATGTATACTTGGCGATCCAGCATATTCTTTGTTACCTTGGTTGCTGAAGCCATTTCTGGAAAATCAGAACACCCCAAGAAAGCATCGACGTCTCAATTACCGCCTCAGTCGTCCCAGAATGACCGTTGAAGACACATTCGGACGTTGGAAAGGTCGTTTTCCTAGATTTTCAAAGCGCATTGACATGAAGGTTGAGGATGTTATTCATCTAGTGGCCGCCTCATGTATATTACATAATAAATTTGAGCTGAGAAGAGATCCACTGCTCAACGAATGGTTTGAACAAGCTCAAGACAGGTCCTACCCTCAGCCAGAAGATGGAGATGTGCCATTCAGAATGAATGCCCGAGAGAGGGCTGATGCATCAGATACCCGCAACATATTGGCCAACTTTTTTATGACAGAGGAAGGAACACAAATCGGTTCAGGAGCTGATAGCAATTGAAAGTTAAAATATTTAATATCATCTAATGATTGTTTTTGTATGAACACTCTTTGAGTGTTACCACTCTTTGAGTGTTAAACACCAGTCTTTGAGTGTTTGTTGTGTTATTGTTTATTATACCTTGGCCAAATGTAAATTGAGACTGGATTATGAAACTGACTTTTGACAATCCTGTTGCTTTTTCATTAATAAAGTTTACCTGCATTGCTTACCATGCTCAGTAAAGTTCATAGACATAAGAACAACAACTACTTTTATTTCAGTGGCATAAGCAAGAAGACTACAGCCAGCATTATTTCGAAATATCAACAGTGTTCTTTGGGCTTACAACTGTAAGTAGCTTGGGGTTCATCAAAGCTGCCGCTGCTACTGCTAGTGTCAACACTAGACCTGTTACTGGGTGTAGAGAAGCCAAAACCATCATTTTGATAGCTCTAGCTAAAATTTTGACTGACAGGAAATGCCGCCATGGGAGCCTGCCAAGAGAGTAACTATAAAACTGACAACTAGTGCTGCCTTTCTTTTCGTCTTCGTTTCATTTCCAGTTGCCTTAACTTCCACTGAAATTCCATTTCTCTCTTATGGCGCTCTTCTTCAATCTTCTGCTGCTGTTTCATCTCCATTTCAGTTGCTTCCTTAAAGCTATCAAACAACAGTTTAAGGGACTTTTCTAACTTAGTTTTCTTTGGCTTTCTTGAAGTACTCAAGGTTTCTGCATCTCTTTTAAGGGCCTTTTTCCCTTCTTGTCCTGGGTCTTTCTCAAGGTCTTTCAGGTCCACCTGTACCTTAGTGCTTTGACCTTCAATAGTCTGCTGTTCATCAACTATGCCACTTTCAAAGGTCGAATTGCTCCACAGATCTTACAAAAATAACAAACAACAGCATTATGGTTATTTAAAGATAATTGGTAAAAAAAGCAGGTCACAGGTACAGATTATTGTTTTACCCATACTGAAACAACCCTAACCCTAAACACCGTCTTAAAAATCATTGTAATCAGGTGTAGAGTTAAGGCCTAGCTATAGGAGGCCTTTTAAAGTTTATTTCAGTATGGGTAAAACAATGACCTGTACCTGTGACCTAACGTTTGTACTGGCCTATTAAAAAGCGTTTCCGTTACAAATGACTCACATAAACGCATCAAACGTACGTAGATTCCATGTACTAACTAAACTTGATCTCTGTCCTTCAATTTATTGCCTGAACCATGCTTCATATGCTTCATATGTACCGGAACTGAGTCAGTCTAGTATGCACATCCTAATTAAAAATAAGGTAGGGGAATTAAAAAAATACATGACCGACCGTCCAATGTTTCCATAACGGAAAACAAACCACATACTGACATTCTTACCAATTTCGCAACTTTCAGTATCACAAGTAGATTCACCCTCTGAATGATCAGAATGGTCATTATCCTTTGAGGATTCCAGCAAAACTGTTGGTGTAATGTTGTCTCGATGCCCGCAGATGGCCTGCATATCGTCGAAATATCGCCATTTTTCCCTTCGACCAGTCCCACTACTTGTAAATTTATCCACTTCTTTCTTGAACTGTTTCTTCATCTTCTTCCATTTGTTTATTATTGAATCCACATTGTACTTTATTCCTGAAATGAATAAAAATGAAAGTTTTTACTTCATACAGACATTTCTAACTTTATGAACAGCACAGCACCTATAACAACAACGACAACAACCACACCCTAATGAAGAAAATCTTACCTCTATTTTCAAGTTGCACTTGGACGACAGAGTACCCTGATCGTTTTTCTTTAGGTGTCTTCGCGTTGTCTAAGTTAAAAGCTATTGTTTCTTCGGACCAAGAAAGGTACGTTGTTCAACTCATGCGCAATGTAACAAATGTTTGGTAAAAATGGAGGCACGGCTCGGATACCTCTTTACATTGTACTGGAAATCCAAAATAATGGCTCGGTGACCTTTTTTACCCGTGCTCGGACTACCTACCGACTTGGTCCGAGAGTATTGGTCTCTTGATCCTGGTCTTGATATTCATCCGCTCTGCTCTAACTCAGGCCAGTTAAAAATAATGTATCGTAATACTCAGTCCATGGTTTCGACATTTAATTAGCTTTTACTCACTGTTAATTCATATCCACTGGACATTGTAGCATTGAGCGAAATCTGGCTTAGAGATCAACCGCAGTTATTGGACTATGTTTCTATCCCTGACTTTGTTATGGAATTCCGGAACAGGGAAGGTATAAGGGGAGGTGGCGTCGGTGTTCATATTAAGGAAAATATCAATTATAAGCGCCGTCGTGACATTGAAAATGCCCACCCAGAACTTGAAAACCTATGGATAGAGGTGCCTGGCCGCAATAAGTATAGTAGGGCTCTTGTAGGTGTGATCTATAATTCCGAGCGCATGCTCAGTCCTTCTTTTGACACCATATCCTTTAGCGCGACCATCGTGAAGTTCTACAAGCTCGGTTTCTGAAAACCCTTTCTCAAGTGGCTATTGAGCTATCTATCTGGCCGCTCCCAGTTCGTGCAGATCGACGATAGGAAACCCTCGTACCAGTCATCTCAGTATGGCGTTCCACAGGGGTCCATCCTGGGACCGATGATTTTTAACTTATATGTATCAGATCTACACGAGGTGACCTTGTTTCGTGCCTATCACCTGACCATTGTTTGAGGCGATCACATTAGACCAAGCGTCCTTTCAAATATGACGCGTGGTCCATTACAAAGCGAGACCACGTGTTCCTGAAGAAGAAAACTTGAAAGGACGCGTAAAATATCATTTTGACATTGTCTCCCATGAAGTGCACATGCATCTGTTCTAGTGCATAGATAGTTCAAGGACGAGCCAGCAATAGGAACAAGATGAAATCTGTGTTACTGCCTCTCATAATTACATGCTTTGCTTCAGGTAAGTAAGGAGGTATAGCGGGTAGCAGGTATACTATTTCAGTCAATCTACTAGATGACTATCACGTGTCTAAAGTTGATGCTGTTTTGAAAATGTAGATGGGTTATTATTCACAATGGCGCGAATAAAGCTCTTTAAGGTGAGAGGCTTACGTATTTATCAGATCTTTTTATGTTACCGCACGGAGAAAAGATCAGTCTAAGTTTGACCCACCAGTCCCTCAGGAAGTAAAAGCAACATGTCGGTCTATAAGAGTGTCTATTGCGATAGACATAGACATAGAAATAGAATAATCCAATAAAACAATTGAACAATAGAACCTGCAGACGCTCCCTTTGACAAAGGATTTTTGAGAAATATTTCGAAACACGTTGCCAACACCCAACTGAGACCTTTACGCAAGGAATTAGCTTTTAGCATGATTTGAATTTATCTTTCAAGTAAGACTAACAGAGAGTGGAAAAAAATACATGAATGCATTTAAGGCATACGGTGACTAAGCACTGCACAATTACCTCATATTTTCTTCGCTTTAACTGTTGCACAGCCACACAAGATTGTTAAAGCAAACTTGAGTTCACCAGTGTAACCTAGCTTTCAAGATTTGACTCCTTGCGAATTTGAACCTCCCTCGAACTTTTTTCTTTCGCCTTAAATAACTCAGAATCATTCGCTGTTTCACTCACAGTTACTCCACAGCTAAATCGAAGAGCTGGCACTCAATTACAGAAATAATTTCCCACACGGTGAATTATGAGTTCAACTGCAACAACGAACCATTTACCAACAAGGTTGCCATTTTCAAAGAAATTCATCTAATTGGTTGCGTTTTTCAGGTTCAGCATTATGAGATGTGCGACGGAAGTTTGATGTACGGTTCAGATTCTTATCTCTTCATACGTCAGCCACTTCGGAACATTCTCAGTATTTTGGAAAGTTCGGCCTCAAAATCAATTTAGCTCATTTCAATGCTGTGTAGCTCAGCTGGTCTTTGACTAAAACGATGCTAAACTCGGCGGCAAAACGAACTCGAAGCCTGCAATGACGAAGAGCGGCTTGTTCAACCTTTGTTGGTTGCCTATGGAAACTTCTCTTTTATTGGAAACATAACATTCTTCAATATATATTAAAGTTCACACGGCAACCAGGTGGACAATCAGACATAGTTTGAAGCTACACTGGTTTGCAGATTTAATGAATGTAACCGAAGAAGTTACAATTCATAGACCCAACGTTTCGACACTCCTGTCTAGTGCCTTCATCAGGGGTGATTTAAACGCTGCAACAAGAGGTCCTTTTATATGATCACTAATTGGCGGCCTTTTTTCTGACGAGGTGTAAATAGGCGTCAGGAAGCAGACCGCCATCGTCACGATTTAAAGGAGCGTGGGCGGAGTTTATGTGCCAAGCCTCCAAACAAAGGCGCTGGTGGTAACGCCGATTAGTAGTGATAATTTTAGAATTATCCCACCCAATTGTATGGTTGGTTAGGCAAGTATGCTCCGATAAAGCTGAATTTTCCTTTTTGCAAAGAAAAACCGCTTTTTGGTGCTCTTTTAACCGTGTACCAAACTGGCGTTTGGTCTGTCCGATGTATTCGTTATCACAGTCATTGCAAGGAATAGAATAAATGGCGTCGGTTCGTTGTTCTTTCGTGACAGGATCCTTAGGTTTGGCGAAAATATGCCCCAAAGTCTGAAAAGGTTTTTGAGCAACTTTAACGTTGTGGCTATTCAAAATTCTCTTGATGGGTTCAGTAACACCCTGTATGTAAGGAATAACAGCAAAACCAGTCGCTGGTTCCCTTTCATCAAGAGCGTTACTATTTGTAACTGGTTTTTGGCAGTTACGGAGAAAAGTTTTTGTATAGCCATTTGCCTTTAGGACATTGGAAACAGATTTACTCCTCAGCCTTCGAATCGAGTGATGATGGTAGACAATCAGCCCTCCTAAGTAAAGTTTTGGCTACAGACTTTTTATGGCAAATAGGATGGTGAGAATCGAAAGCGAGGTATTTGTCGGTGTGGGTGGGTTTACGATAGACACTTGTCTCTAAATTACCCTGAACCCCTCTAGACACATTTAAATCAAGAAAGGGCAAATGTCTATCCTTTTCACGTTCAAGGGTGAATTGGATCGACGGCTCTACTGAATTCAAATGCGACAAGAGGCGCTCCGCTTCATTTCCGGATACCGCAGAAATAACATCATCGACATATCGTTTCCAGAAAAAGGGTTTAACCGGTGAAGTGGCTAAGGCCCTTTGTTCCACGTCTTCCATTACCATGTTAGCAATGACAGCAGAAACAGGCGAACCCATAGCTGTACCAAAAACTTGTTGATAGTATGTGCCGTTATATGTAAATTGCGTGGTTTTGAGGCGAAAAGACAGCAGATGAATAATATCCTCCACAGGCAAAGAAGTTCTTTGTCCTAGGGAAACATCTTCTCTGAGTCTTTCCTCCGCAACCTTAACGGCAAGATCAACTGGGATTTTAGTGAAGAGCGAAACAACGTCGAAAGATACTAATTCTTCACAAGCGTCAAGAGTTTTATCTCTTATGAAATCCGTAAATTCGCAGGAATTTTTGACAGTGTAATCAGTATTCCCAACAACAGGCGACAAAATTCAATGAATGAATTCATTGAATTTTGAATGAATTCATTGAATTTTGTCGCCTGTTGTTGGGAATACTGATTACACTGTCAAAAATTCCTGCGAATTTACGGATTTCATAAGAGATAAAACTCTTGACGCTTGTGAAGAATTAGTATCTTTCGACGTTGTTTCGCTCTTCACTAAAATCCCAGTTGATCTTGCCGTTAAGGTTGCGGAGGAAAGACTCAGAGAAGATGTTTCCCTAGGACAAAGAACTTCTTTGCCTGTGGAGGATATTATTCATCTGCTGTCTTTTTGCCTCAAAACCACGCAATTTACATATAACGGCACATACTATCAACAAGTTTTTGGTACAGCTATGGGTTCGCCTGTTTCTGCTGTCATTGCTAACATGGTAATGGAAGACGTGGAACAAAGGGCCTTAGCCACTTCACCGGTTAAACCCTTTTTCTGGAAACGATATGTCGATGATGTTATTTCTGCGGTATCCGGAAATGAAGCGGAGCGCCTCTTGTCGCATTTGAATTCAGTAGAGCCGTCGATCCAATTCACCCTTGAACGTGAAAAGGATAGACATTTGCCCTTTCTTGATTTAAATGTGTCTAGAGGGGTTCAGGGTAATTTAGAGACAAGTGTCTATCGTAAACCCACCCACACCGACAAATACCTCGCTTTCGATTCTCACCATCCTATTTGCCATAAAAAGTCTGTAGCCAAAACTTTACTTAGGAGGGCTGATTGTCTACCATCATCACTCGATTCGAAGGCTGAGGAGAGGAAATATGTTTCCAATGTCCTAAAGGCAAATGGCTATACAAAAACTTTTCTCCGTAACTGCCAAAAACCAGTTACAAATAGTAACGCTCTTGATGAAAGGGAACCAGCGACTGGTTTTGCTGTTATTCCTTACATACAGGGTGTTACTGAACCCATCAAGAGAATTTTGAATAGCCACAACGTTAAAGTTGCTCAAAAACCTTTTCAGACTTTGGGGCATATTTTCGCCAAACCCAAGGATCCTGTCACGAAAGAACAACGAACCGACGCCATTTATTCTATTCCTTGCAATGACTGTGATAACGAATACATCGGACAGACCAAACGCCAGTTTGGTACACGGTTAAAAGAGCACCAAAAAGCGGTTTTTCTTTGCAAAAAGGAAAATTCAGCTTTATCGGAGCATACTTGCCTAACCAACCATACAATTGGGTGGGATAATTCTAAAATTATCACTACTAATCGGCGTTACCACCAGCGCCTTTGTTTGGAGGCTTGGCACATAAACTCCGCCCACGCTCCTTTAAATCGTGACGATGGCGGTCTGCTTCCTGACGCCTATTTACACCTCGTCAGAAAAAAGGCCGCTAATTAGTGATCATATAAAAGGACCTCTTGTTGCAGCGTTTAGATCACCCCTGATGAAGGCACTAGACAGGAGTGTCGAAACGTTGGGTCTATGAATTGTAACTTCTTCGGTTACATTCATTAAATCTGCAAACCAGTGTAGCTTCAAACTATGTCTGATTCTTCAATATGTTCTTTATCTCGTGGTTCTCAACCCAACATGCATGATGCCACGGGATGATATAAGGATGATGATTAGTCATGATCGAGATCCGTCGCCATAGTCCTTTTAAAAGTACAGCGTTGAAAAGTGAGGTAAAGGTGAGTTTGTTTCGCTTTGAAAAGGCAAAAGCAGCGCTCGCATGTGTCGTAACCAATGAAGAACAATCTAATGAGGTCTGATTGGCTTATATATTCATATTTCGATTATCCGGACCCTCGATTATTCGGACTATTTCGTCTTGTCCCAACGAGTCCGGATAATCGAGGTTCGACAGTACATCAAATCTCCACTCCAGCTCACCATCAAGTTTGAGTTAGTGTATCCAAAAATAGCTTAGACGTGTTAGATTTCTCGTTGCACCTGTGAATTGCTTTATTGTCACTGATAGTTATCTCGACGTCACGGATGGCCTCTCTTGTTCACGCCATCTCCTTTATGAACGAGCCAATGGGGATGCAAGAAGAATCAGACAAACAATTTTGAAACAAAAGTGAAAATATACAAATGGCATACATTTCCCCTGTTGCACAGAAAAAAAATTTAGCGCGTGAAATTCGAATTACATCTCTCCGTCTTTAAAGTTAATGTTTTCCTTTGCATAGGTAAAGTGAAACGACCTTAAAACGTTGTTCTCAAATACGCTTATAAATGATTTAACGCACGTAAATTGTTCCACTTACCCTGAAGTTATTGAAAATGGAAATGCAGAGCAAAATCTATTGTACATCAACACTAATTACAAACCACTCTCCTTCCATCATCAGACATGTTCCAACATCAATAACCTCAAGGACTTTAAACTTATCGCGTGATGCAAACAAATTCTACAAAGGAGCCAAATTATACGACGTCCAGTGGCCGGAGGATACAATAAGAACATAGAACACGTCAAAGTTCGAAACCAAAGAACGAAGAATAAGGATAGATCTGCAAACATTATTTGATTTCGTCTGCCATACAGCTAAAACTTTGTTCGTCATTTAAGATAAACCATATGGGATTTATTATTTCACTACTAGTTCATTCTCTAGCATTTTGGCTACAGCTTTCTCTGAGTATCGTATCGATCGCATAAGGCGTCGGCAAAAGATGACAAGAACACAAAGGAGACAATTTAGGTGTTCTTTATAACAAAAAAAAAACTGATGGACTTAATAGTTCGTTGCTCAAAAAGACAAGCCTAAAAGAAGAAAAAATATAAGTTTGGATCGTTCACTGAGGCTAGTTTGTTGCCCCGCTTTCTGTCTGTATTTTTGCCCTGCTTCAAACTGTAATACCGTAGCATATTTTGCGCGTCCAGATGACTTAATATGGTAAAATGGCGTAAAAGTGGAACAACAAATACATATATAAACTCTGCTGCTATAATAATTCTGAAAGAGCTGGTGAGCAGTAAAAAGTACTTGCCACTCAAATTTTAACCGATAGTTGATAAACAAGAATGCGTTCTTCAAAAGTTGATTAGAGCCTTAACATTGATTTTTTTTTTTACAGACTCGCTGTGCTTCCGTTGTTATCAGTGTTTTTCTCATTTGTCATGGGAGGACTGCAACAAACACGCCATAGAGACCGATGAGTGCAAACCTCCAAAAGTTTGTTACATGGCTCACCGAATATTTCAACGGAAGGGGCAACAACGGCATAACTTTATCAAGGCTTGTTATAGCCCTAGATGGTGTCCACAAGAAAGGTGTAGACAGACCACGCAGACTTCTGTGGACGGTTCGTGGTGCGAGACAAAGTGCTGTAAAGAAAAAGATCTCTGTAACACTGGAATGACTCCCTCGTGGGAAAAGGCATATGTAGGGAAGGAGTCTGCCGTCAATCAAAATGTACCACATAAAGTTTGTTTTCTTATCACTGTATTGTTAGCAATGTTAACAGCGTGATTAGGATTTTTCAGCCTTTTTCAGCTTGATATGCAATAATGAGCGTAGTTGGACAATAGCATAAGTCAGTTTAAGTTAAACACTTTTAGACCTGAACGGCTCATCAACGAAAAAGAAACTTAAAAATAGAAACAAAAGGTATGATAATGGCGCTTGCTTTTAAAAAACGTAGTTTTATTTGAGGTATGCTTTAGTTTTAATTCTTAATAGTTTTAGGGTTTCAACATGGGAAATCAATATCTAATTCAATAAAGCTAGTAATTTACCCCATAACTGACTCGCACTGTGGATCTCAATAGCCCCACCCACCCCCCCTCCGTAAAATCAAGTTGATGTGAACACGACCTTTTAGCAATCTAAACTTCATAAAGAAAGCTTCAGATCACTTAACTGTGATCCATCCACAATCGAGTCAGATGTTTTTTTCCTCCACTGTTGTTGTCTGATAATGTCAAAGCAATTTGCCAGTATAATACCGTCTAAATTGAACAGGCCTAGTGTATAGTTTACGGAGAGCAGCAACTATTGGATAGAGTAAAATCAGGTCCGTCTTCGATCATCAATAATTACCGCAAGTTTGCGACGCACTTTACGACGCTGTAGAAAAAATTCAACGTACGGCGTACCAAAACTGCGAGTCAAGTTACCCGGAAAAGCGGCTTCTTCTTGACTAAGACAATGAGCAATTAATGACAAATGTACTCGGGTGTTTGTGAAAATATGGACATCTGGAGGCGTTAATCATTCTAATCCGCATTAGAAAACCCCGTTTTAACTTGACTTTTCCAGAAAGCTAGGCGAAGAACGTAAAGTCTCCTCATAAGAGGGTGGCGGGCTGTGTTCTGTTCCACCTGCAGTCATGAAATTACTTAAATTACCTTACTTAAATTAAGGTTCACCAGCACATCTTGTAAAACAACAGACTTCAACTTCAATCGAGAAAGAATTAGTACCAAAATGATAGTTTCAAAACAACGTAAGCTTAGGGGTACCCGGTTAGATCGCACCACGGTTAGATCGCTCCTATTTAGATCGCTCCTATTTAGATCGCTCAACTCGAAAGTTAGATCGCTCCATCAAGTAAGTTACTTCGCTACCAAAATAAGTTAATCCGCTCCATGTTATTAAGTGAAGTATTGAATACCAATGATCTTTAAAGTTTATAGGTGATGATGTGTCTTGCGACGATTCGAGTACATCGTATTCACTCAGTCCTTCAGATTAGTCACCGAGCTACCGATGTATGATGTATAGCGATGATGGAATAAATTATCGTGGAATAAATTATAACTTTATAATCTGATTAATAGAATTCTAAGAAGATACATGAAAAAATTACTCAGTTCTGATTGGTTAAGATAAATGCAGTTTTTAGGTAATTCAGTTCAGAAGAGGGTTAGTGCAGTGCAAAGAAGTAACAAACCAGACATTCTGATTCGTCAAAAATCAAAGAGACTCACAGATAGCGAATCAAATGCGATCCTTGGATGTCGCAACATTCAGATACGCTGAAAATTTGCGAGCGAAACAATGGCCGGCGTTTCAAGTAGGTTTTATTTCGCCACCAAAACAACAATACAGCAACTGAAAAACAGCTCCAACAACGAAAATACTGTAAAAAGCACTGCTTTTTGGTTGTCGGTTTGGAAAAAATGGTGTTCAGAGAAGGGAATTGTTAAGGAAATCGAGAATTACGAGCCGACTCAGCTTAACACTTTCCTCGAGCGATCCTACGCCGAAATTAAAAACATACATGGTTAAACCTCGGAAACGACGATTCCATTTCATCGAAAGTGACAGAGACTGAACAATTCCTTGAATTGTTTAACCGGACTTTGAAATTTTTTGCACCTCAAAGATGTGAAAACATCATTGTATATTTTTGTTTTGATCGTACACGGTTGTTTTGACCGAACGCACGGTTTGAACAAATTATTTTTGCTCTTGATGCGCGCGCTTTGCTTCTGCATAATTATGATGAGCTATCTCGTATTTTTTCATTCATATTATTAATAAGTAATCACATGATTTTTCTCGTGCAATTCGGAATAAATAAGCACTTGTTAATTTTTTCAAAGACCACAAATTGCACGAGCCCGTGGGGCTCGTGTAAATTTGTTAGTCTTTAAAAACTTACTCGTGTTTATTTATTGCAAATTGCACTCGAAATCATCTGATTACCTATACAAAGATATGATAAGATATGCACGCCATTTAGTGAACTATCAATTTAGACTCGTTACATTTGCTACGTCTACCTTAGTTTTCTACATGGAGCGAAGTAACTTATGTTGGGAGCGAAGTCACTTATTTGATAGAGCGATCTAACTTTTGGTTGGAGCGATCTAACTGGGAGCGATCTAACTATGGTGCGATCTAACCGTAATTCGCTTAGGGGCCTAATTCAGTTGAGAGGGTCTTGGTCATAATGTGAATAGTATAACTACAGCGTACACAGATAGCTTATAATGTTTTACATCATGGCTATGAGCGAATCCGATATGATGGCAAAGATCGTCTGATTTGACTTGCATTCGCTGTATTTGCGGTCTAAGAAAGTGAGATATCTTACCATGAACACTTAGATCGTGATAAGGCGAACCTGGGCCATACAAATCGGGGTAAATATGAGGCAGTGGTCCGGTGTAAGGGCCTTGATGGGGAGGCCGTGACACTGGAGGGGCTGTCGGCTCCACTGGCTCTGCAGTCTGAAATCATTTCACGTGCCAATATTAGAACATACAGTATGATCTAGGAAAATTGATAAAGGGGTAAAGTTTCTGAAGAAACTGTAGTGCTGCGTCGGTGGGAGAGTATAAAAAGGTAATTCTGTATTATCAAATGAGGTGATAACGTTAATTGGCCACCATTAAGAGTTTCGAAGCTGACGTTTCGAGCGATAGCCCTTCGTCAGAGCGAATGGAGGAATTGTGGGTAGTGTGTGTTTATTCGTAGAATATGGAGCTACGCCATTGGTGGGAACATGGTAGAGAGAAAAACAAGAATAAATTGGTTGAATGAAAAGTGTTTGTTGATACCGTGGGGATTAAGAAAGATAAATTTTCGTTCTAGAATGTTGCGGCTTTCCGAACCACTGAGATTTAGTGAAAGACCGCTAACTGTCATATGCTACTTAAAATGATTAGGGAGATTAAAGTGTCTAGCGACTGATTTGGATGTGTTATTATCGTGTCTTTCTACGTCGCGAAGGTGTTCTCGGAATCGGTCACCTAGTCGTCTTCCTGTTTCACCATTGTACTCACTACTACTCAAGTAGTGTTCGTTACTGCGAAGATCGCTTTCATATTCACTTACGACTTCTTGCAGTAAGCGCAAGTTATGCAGTAGATGACATTGGCGGAGGTGCACGTGATCAGTAATTTTGATGGATATCTTGGGTTGCGACATGTTCTTTACTTTATGAATGAAAGGACGGGTTTTACATCCTGAGCGAGCGCATAAGTTCCAGACTGGTCATTACTTTGAAATGGACTTCTGACCAAAAAGTTGCCTATGTTTTTTATCGCGTTTGAATGAAATTAGTGGAGGCTGCGAAAAGATATTTCCAGTCTCTGAATCGTTTAAAGTAATTTTAAGTTGATTATTCGCCGAAGTAATCCGCTTTTCAGTTGATCGGTGCCAGGTTGGCTCCTTATCGCCTTCTGATAATTCTCTCTTCTGCTTAAGAACCGACTTGACTAGAAGTAAGCCTCAATGGTTTCTTCTGCAAGTTAGGATCAAATGCTAGTCAGCTCACCACAAAAAAAGTAGACACATGATTTTTCAAATCTGTCACGAAACAAAAGGCTCCGATTTCTCTTAGACCCTAAAAAGCCTCTTTCCACGATAAGAGCCTTCCCTCTCAATATATCTACTTTCCATTAATGAAAAAGAGAGAATTAAATTATCTCGACACCAAAAGACTGGGAATTCTTTAGTATGACTTTAGCATGACATTGAGTACCGCAACTAACCTCTCGAAATTCTTTTGGTAGCGGCCAAAGAGACTAAAGTAGAGTGATGACACGTGGAGGAGTCTAAAAGCAATCACTCTATTTTTTTTTAAGGTCCGCAAAAATTTTTTTTTCGCACCGTCCTTTGACTAAATAATTTAATATCGAATAAACACTCAGTAATTCATCAAAATTCCTGAAAGGTTACCAGTACACATTCGATTTGGGGAGAGGTGCGAGACCACATCACAGCGAACCGGTCGGGGCTTGAAACTTGATCTATCAATCTGAAGTTCAGCGCCTACCAAACTACCGCGCCTCTAACAGGGATCAAAATATCATATTTTTCGATTCGAGTGAAATCTGCCAAGCACACACTCACCTGCTGGCCTTGATTCTCTTTGTCCTCTTTTGTGCACTCAGTATGCTGTGGCATTAAAGCTGTCATCCAAGACCACATCTCCTCCTGATAAAAGTATCAACCATTAACTCAAAGTAGTTTAAGAGTATATGTTAGCTAAACATACCTAAGGTTGGGAGACATTACACAGGTACGAGAGGCACATACCCTAACATAGCAAAAACTAAAGCAAACACCACATCATCTCTAAAAAAATTAACAAAACTTCGAAACTGTTATGTATTCTTAGCCTTACAATCTAAATAGTATCAAAATTAGAACAAAAACATGATAGAGATTATCTCAATTAAAACCTAAAATTAGAACAAAGAGAAAATGATTCACGTTCCAGTTGATCTTTTTCTTGGAAAAGTTAACTGTCTAAGCTGCCATGGGTGTGTGAAAAATAATCCAAACTTTTAGCAAGCGTTGGATGTTGTCCTTGAGTAGCATGGTATCATAAAGTCAGACGTGCCAGTGTGAATCAAGAGAGGCCAGGTTCCATCCAATCGCCTTGACGAAGGGTTAACGCTCGAAACGTCAGCTTTTTTCCTCTTTACGGTGGCCAATTTACGTTTTCAACTCAGTTGTTAACAATAAAATTACCTGCTCTACTCTCACACAGACGCCGCACCACAGTTTCTTTAGAAACTTACCGCCTTCATTCATGAGGCCAGGTATGCTACGAAAATTTAGTTTTCCGGGCTTTCGCCAATCTACGGCATCATCAGGGAATGTGATGATGCCGTAGATCGGCGAAAGCTCGGCAAACTGAATCATCGTAGCATACCTGGCCTCACTTGATTTACACGTTTGACTTTAATCCAAACTAGCAGTTACCATTTTCCTAAGAGTCCTCAGAAGTTTAGGGGTTACACTTTTGCCTACAACTTACCCTCTTCACGCATATTAGAGAGCTATGTTTAGGTTCAGTAATCTCTGCGTTCAATGCTTTTGAAATGTATTTTCGAACTGCCTTTGATTTAAATATATCACTAATGTTGATACAATAAACAGTCCATACGAATTTGTCTTCTAGTGGTGACAAAAAGTCACAAAACTTAAGACACAATCTGATCCACATGTGGCCATTGATGTAAAATTTTCATAGCAGGAGATTTAAAGATATTTTATAATGACGATAATGATGGTGACAGTAATAACAATGAATGCCTACCGGTGTGGCACACTGAAGGTACCAAACTATCCCTGACTTTGTGTGAACCTCAAAAACATTTTTTTTGTCTGGAAATGAATCTGATAACTTTACTTTATCAATATCTCCTCTTGTAACTGTATTGACAGGGGTTGGAGCCTGTTGGGTGGAATCAACAAAGGTTGTGTTTAAGTCTCTCAGGAATACTGCTTGATGTAACGGGTTGGTGAATTATAAAGCTGATAAACACAGCCTCAAACTGCATCACAGAGCTCTATTCAAGGCAAATGGTATAATTTTTCAATACATGGCACAGATCTGAAAGCAATTTACGTAAAGATAAGACCCACTAGATATTCAACACTTAGAATTGAGGTTGTTTGAGATTGTTCAGCCGTCTCTCGTGTAGCCACTTTGATGACATGAAATGCAAGCAGTGCTGTCATCAGCATGACTGCCATTTAATTCTAAACAAAGTGTCGCTTGTCCCATCAAGGTAAGGGAACATTATTTTTCTGCCCACTAAATATCCTGTCCCAAGAGTTCAGATAGTAAAACAGGGAAATTTGTTTCCATTTCATTATCATAACAATATCTCAAACTTCATGGGACCATAATGATGTCTTGACCAGTCTGCAGTTCAATTTCCAAATGAAACTGGATCAAGGGGCTTCAATCCTCACATTGGTAAACAAGTAAGTCAATCTTTCACCCAGTAAGCATATCAGAAAACTCACAAGAAAAGGAGATGCCTTTTTTGATTCAGTCTTCTCTGCCAAATTTCTCTTCTTTCCCTTTTCATTTTTATCATATTGCAAAAAATGAAGACGCTGATCTCTGAACTTTGATTTACTGTTTTTGCTGCCATGAACCTTGCCAGAAACCTCTTCCCCTGTACCACCCTTATAAAAAGTAAAAATACTAATAAAATAATTGAAAAGAGCTCATTAATGCCAGAGAGAGGGAACAACAATAATGATATTCTGCATCAAATATAGTTCTAGCACATAGATTGACCAAGCCCAGACATAAAAAATTGGTAAAATTATTTGAAATTCAAGTGAAAATTCAAGCCCTCAATCACCTTTCAACAATTTACAATTTTTAAAACTGTTGATTGACACTGTATTTAATAACAGATAAAATTAATATTCATCAAAAATAGTCAAAATTGATTCTTGTTCATTGGCCATACTGGGAAACTGATAATTCATTATCAACAATATAAAATTAACAACCAAAGGTTTCCATACCATAACAGAAAACTGAATAATTCAAGGTACTCACATATTTAGACTCAAAATAATGTAGATACATTCTTTCTAATTTAAAGTATCTTGTTCCCCAGCCAGACCATACATTCTTATATTTTCTGAGCTCTCCTTCTTTCTGCAAAGGTGAAAAATTACAAATTTTATGTAAATGGATTTGATATTTGAAAGTTGTTAATAGATCATTTAAACAACTCACAATCTTAATTGTGATGACTTAATCACTGTTATTAATAGCTAACAATAACAACTTTTTTGATGGAGGAAGTGCATGTTCTGGAGATCGCTTTGGCAATACTGCAGCTTTAGCAATACTGCATTATTGCTATTTTGTGTTTTAGAGACACATGGTGCGGTTTCAAACACCAAGATACCAAGAGTACATGTTCGCATATCAGCATTTCTTGTCGACTTGAAATATTACGATGGCAGTTTTCTTCATTGTCAACCATTCAAGATAAAAATTAAGGGATTCAGGTTTGAGTAAACTAATGTAATTTGTAAAATCTCTATAACATTTTCGGCTATCCCATCGAGGAAGCTTAAAGAGTTTCTTATGCTCACCGTTGGTTTTGACTCGTTCATTTTTCCAAAGTGACTAAATCGTTCTACATCGTAGCCATTTTCTGCCAGTGGAGCTTCAGTAGACAGAGCGTAATGATGAAGTACTGGGCACTACAAAGATTCCTTACCGAGGAGCTCACGACGTCACACAAGATCAACACCTCTTGAAGCAAACGAGTCTGTCATCTGTGATTTCCGATTCCCACAATTTCTGAGGGACAAAGAAACTCGGATGTGGAGTGGAGCCCACCTTCAAAAACGCTTCATGTAATTTTGGTAGTGCAGTCGTTCTCCCGTCTGGTAGGACTCTTTGGAACGTCACGCAACACCCCGCAAGAAAAGCTGAGAAGATGCTGCGTGACTTTCTGAGGAGACAACATCTCTTTAGGAAGGGAATGTCCTCGCTGAAGGAACAAGGTCGTCACGAGACACGGTCTTGCTTTTCACGTCTAAGTGAAAAAGTTTTTTGTTTCAGAGAGGAAATCTGGATTTTTGAACATACAAAAAAAAACGTGTTTATAAATACAAGTTCTTGTTCATTAATAAAGCTGTAAATTATAACCTCGACTAACTGCAACGGGAGTTACTACATCACGAGCGACGAGCGGGGGATGAAGAAATGACCGAAATACGAGTGGTCAGCGGGAAAACAAATTTAATACTCAGACATAATTTTATGCTACTCTGGTTTGCAGATTTAATGAATGTAACCGAAGAAGTTACAATTCATAGACCCAACGTTTCGACACTCCTGTCTAGTGCCTTCATCAGGGGTGATCTAAACGCTGCAACAAGAGTTTCTTTTATATGATCACTAATTAGCGGCCTTTTTTCTGACGAGGCGTAAATAGGCGTCAGGAAGCAAACCGCCATCGTCACGATTTAAGGGAGCGTGCGCGGAGTTAATATGCCAAGCCTCCAAACAAAGGCGCTGGTGGTAACGCCGATTAGTGGTGATAATTTTAGAATTATTCCACCCAATTGTATGGTTAGTTAGGCATGTATGCTCCGATAAAGCTGAATTTTCCTTTTTGCAAAGGAAAACCGCTTTTTGGTGCTCTTTTAACCGTGTACCAAACTGACGTTTGGTCTGTCCGATGCACTCGTTGTCACAGTCATTGCAAGGAATAGAATAAATGGGGTCGGTTCATTGTTCTTTCGTGACAGGATCCTTAGGTTTGGCGAAAATATGCCCCAAAATCTGAAAAGGTTTTTGAGCAACTTTAACGTTGTGGCTAATCAAAATTCTCTTGATGGGTTCCGTAACACCCTGTATGTAAGGAATAACAGCAAAACCAGTCGCTGGTTCCCTTTCATCAAGAGCGTTACTATTTGTAACTGGTTTTTGGCAGTTATGGAGAAAAGTTTTTGTATAGCCATTTGCCTTTAGGACATTGGAAACATATTTCCTCTCCTCGGCCTTCGAATCGAGTGAAGATGGTAGACAGTCAGCCCTCCTAAGTAAAGTTTTGGCCGCAGACTTTTTAGGGCAAATAGGGTGGTGAGAATCGAAGGCGAGATATTTGTCGGTGTAGGTAGGTTTACGGTAGACACTTGTCTCTAAATTGCCCTGAACCCCTCTGGACACATTTAAATCAAGAAAGGGCAGATGTCTATCCTTTTCATGCTTGTTGCAGCGTTTAGATCACCCCTGATGAAGGCACTAGACAGGAGTGTCGAAACGTTGGGTCTATGAATTGTAACTTCTTCGGTTACATTCATTAAATCTGCAAACCAGAGTAGCATCAAACTATGTCTGATCGTCCACCTGGTTGCCGTGTGAACTTTAATATATTTTATTTGCGAGAAAAGTATGGTCAAACTGTTATTACAAGGGTCAACCGGCTCGTGAACATCAGAGTCCGCATTGCTAAGTATCGCTGTCATTTGTATTTCAATCACTGTTGTAAAGGAAACCATGTGCTTCCATCGAGTTTGAGATTTCGGCCTCCTTTACGGGGTGCTCGAAAGGATACAAGCTCATGGTCCGTACTGGTTTTTCTTTTCTTAAGCTACGAATAGATGAATGTCACAGTTCCATACTGCGTTTGCGTGCGTTATTCTCTCGTTCACTCAGTGAACTCTCTGCTTTGATTAACAACTCCGAAACTTCCTGGGTCGAGGAGTCAGTCTGCAGTTCGAAAGAACTGCAGACGTTTACCAAACAGAGAGAGAAACACGACCGAAAACTCCGTCACTTGCTCAGTAAGAGGTCTCCTGTTAATTCAGGCTCATCTCTGAAAGATAAATGGGTCATGAAACTTTCCTCCAAGGAGTTATCCGCGCTGGAACGGAGTGGTTTAGAAAAGGGTCTGAAGTTTTGCTATTGCTCCTCGCAAAATACCGACTGCCGAAATTGTCGCCGCTGTTGAGGAGAGTATCTCTAAACTCAACGACGATCGTAGGCATCTGGTAAGAGCAGAAGTAAGTGGCATACTCAGACGTGCTAAACCTCCTCCCAAAAACATTCAAAAGGATTTTCAATGCGCTCATAGCTCTCAAAAAGGATCCGGACAGGCTCGTATTATCTGCTGACAAGGGTAATTGTGTTGTGGTTATGGACAAACAGCAAGATCACGACAAAGCTTTGTCTCTACTTAATGACAAGAGTACGTATGCTGTCTTAAACTCTGATCCTACCGGTAAAACTCAAAGAAAGTTAAACAAAATGTTGCTTGATTTGAAAAAAGCTGGTAAAATTAGTGACTCTACGTACAAAATGTTATACAGTAGTGACGGCTTATGTCCACGTTTTTATGGCTTACCTAAAATTCATAAACCGGGAATTCCTTTGGGACCCATTGTCTCTTGTTAATTCTCCGACTTATGCAATTTCTGGTTATCTTGCGAGAATTTTGTCGCCTGTTGTTGGGAATACTGATTACATTCCTGCGAATTTGCGGATTTCATAAGAGATAAAACTCTTAACGCTTGTGAAAAATTAGTATCTTTCGACGTTGTTTCGCTATTCACTAAAATCCCAGTTGATCTTGCGGTTAAGGTTGCGGAGGAGAGACTCAGAGAAGATTCTTCCCTGGGACAAAGAACTTCTTTTCCTGTGAAGGATATTATTCATCTGCTGTCTTTTTGCCTCAAAACCACGCAATTTACATATAACGGCACCTATTATCAACAAGTTTTTGGTACAGCGATGGGATCGCCCGCCTTTGCTGTCATTGCTAACATGGTAATAGAAGACGTGGAACAAAGGGCCTTAGCCACTTCACCGGTTAAACCCTTTTTCTGGAAACGATATGTATCTTGACTTGTTTAAGGCGTAAATCACAGTCGGTTTGCTTTTCACTTGAATTTTGCAATCCCGACTTTCGATTCCGGAAAAATGAAGAGCTAAGCAACTCTAAAAAAATTTCGTTCTAGATTTCTATATTTTTAGAGTCAGCTGTAGTTCTTTTAGCGTTTATTATATATATTCAATCGCCTCATTTCACGTGAAAAAGGCATGTAGGAAAACACTGAGCTTCGAAAAACAGCCAAGTTAAGGCTAATGTGTTTACCATGCTTAAATATTAATAATTAGGGCCCCTCGTTTAGGAGACCTTTTTCCAGAAAATCCAGGCGTTAAAATAATTCTGTTTTCCGTTCGAAGTGTTTTTTTTTCCTATTTTATTTAACAAATGAACTCGGGATGAATTTAATTAAATTCGAAGCGAACGGCAGGTGAAATGTTGTGTTGGTGTCTCTGTCCCCCCCACGTCTCTGCGAAAGGTACATCCAGACAACCTGCATGGAAAAACTGACCACAGCTATCGCATCAAATTCAAAAAAAAAAATCTTTAAAACTAAACTGATGAGCAGCACTCTACGAACGGTAGTCGTAAAATTTCTTTATTCTCCGACGCGTTTCGTTTAACTGTCGTAGACTTCTTCGGGGAGTTTTACAATTTAACACTAAACACCTGTATTTACAAGCCATAGTTAGTGGCTATACGGGGGCCAATGACCATAAAGGCTTGGCCGGACCTACGAATAGGAAAAGGTGAAGTTGCGGAAAATTTGAAAATTTTTTGGGCAAGGTGGGAGAATTCATTAGGGGACCACGGTTTTGGTTTTCTGTTTTCGTCACGCAGCAAGTTACAAAACGTAAATATAATTCTTCTCAGTGCCTTTCCGGATGCCACTGATGCCTTTCCCCATGCCTCCATTGTTTAATACAGCAGTAAAAGATATATGAGCCATCAACACTTTTGAAAAATTGTTTCACATTTTATTTAGCGAAGTATACTGTTGATATTTCGGCTTTACAACACTATTGTTTTCCGCAATTATAACTGATATGTCTCTATATGAGGTATTAAATTTGTTTCCCCGCTGACCACTCGTATTTCGCTCCTTTCTTCATCGGATCATCCCCCACTCGTCGCCCGTGATGTAATACCACTCTGGTAACTCCCGACTGCAACGAGGTGCTGTATGACGTGACCAAACGGCGTCGCTTTCGAGTCATGAGCCCTCTACTCCGTCGTAGTATCTTCTGTCGCAAACTCGCGATCTTAGTTATAAGTTCGTCAATCTCAATCATCAATGGCAAATGTCTTTTTTTTTTTTAATTTACGGTTTTCTCATATATAAATTTACATTTTTTCATACCAAAGGCTGTCCATCGATGCTTTAACCTCGGAGATGACCTCAAAGGTGAGACAGGTTTGGAAAGAAGTGTAAAAATATTCATTTAATAAAAGAGGCCTGGGGTCCAAACTCCGTAGAAGATATGTGTTTAACTTGTTAAATAAACCACAACAATCGGTAAAGTAAAAAATCTGAAACTACTTATAAAATTCCAAACAAAGAGGTAACAAATTTGCATGAACGAAGGCTCAATAAAAACTAACTGCACTCCGTCAAAACAAACAACAGAGGTACGCGAAAAATTTGTTACCCCCTTGTTTGGAATTTTAAGAAGTTTCGGTTTTTTATTTTTAGCCAACTGTTGTGGTTCATTCAGTTTGGACTCTAGCCTCTTCTTCGTAAATTAATTTTTCTTACATGAGGACTCTTAATGATTAACGAAACTTTGAGGAGACTGTAGAGGAGACTGGAACGGGCGTCACCTCTTGTGCGAACGTGTTACAGGTTGCTGATGCTAATCTGATTTCAGGTAAGAATCTTTCTAAATCCTGTTTATGCACTAGTCAAGCGATTCACTAGTGCAGACTTCTGCGCATGTTGAGCTCCAAGCCTGGTATAGTCTGCATATGAGCAATAGGTCACTTAGTTCACCTCCCAAACAACATGGATATGATCTAGTATAAAAGAATTATTTTCAAATTAATAATTAAAGCTCAAGCTTGTCTCGTCGTTTTTTTGCCAACACGTTCTTCTAAACTTCCCATTAGTAGTTGATTCATATGATCGATATCAGAAGAATTGTTCAAAATCTTTGCATAACCTTGTATCTGCTGTGATGTTTACATTGATTCGGCGGCGTGGCCGATTAGTTCACAGAGTTCTGGAATTGCGCTCTGGAAGGCTTAAGTTCGAACAACAGTTGTGAGGTTGTTCTTAGGGCATACGTGTACAGAAGTAAATTTGGAAAGTTTCTGTTCAATTTACATCCATGATCTTTACGACTGAATGCACTTAAAAGTAACTTGTCACCCTCGAGGAAGCTCCATGGGGTCTTTGACCGTGTGAAAACTGGACGTGGACAAACCGCGAGTTTTTGAAATGTCAACAAACAAAACAAACATGGCGATCGCACGAACCTGAATCAAGCGGCATTGTATTAAGCGCTCTCCCTGTATTAACCGGTCGGTTTTCGAAGTCCCGAAATTTTCCCTCTTGATCACTGTAATTTTCACCTCTGTTGAGTGGTTACCTGCGGTCACCTCTATTGTGCGGCCGCGGTCTTAAATCGTCGCACACTTGTGTAGAACGGTCCACTGAGATAAAACTAACAGTACTCCTTAAAACAAAATATATTCCCTATTCAATTGTGGCATATAATGGTGTTTTTCATAGTCTATTATGATAACTCTGTTCTGTGGAACATGTATTATGGGATCACCCTCCCACTCTCTACACAGGTCCAACTGTATTAAAACGGGGTAAAACAATGCATATTTTTCATAATAGAGTCTAGAATTTACAGCAACTATACCCATACTATGCCTGAAAAAGAGGTCAACAGAAAAGAAAATACTGGGGGAAAAATTGTGAAATGGCAACAGATGCAAAAGTTAACAAATGTTCAGATATCGATCATGAGGAAGTGCTATTATGTAACATGTTGAGGGCTAAACACTGATGCATATCATAGTCTGCCTAAAACTCTATGGAGCCCCTTTACTCAGGACTTATTTTTGCAACTCATTTTGACACCACATTCTTGCTGTCATATATTTTGTTCACTGCAGTTTGCTGGTTGCAGTATACTGGACCAAGAAAGAGAAATGGATGCAGAAGATTTAATAGACATTAAGATCACACCTATTGCTGATGGTGGAAGTGAAAATGAAGATGAGGATGACCTCAAAGATTCTTTATTGGGTGGGGAAGAGCGAAGAGGAAGTGATCCTGGAATTAAACCATCACCAATGCCTGCGGTGAATGTTGTCTCTAGATTTGTCACATTTTCGTAAGTGAAATCATAGATAATGTGTTCTTCCTCCATTCAGAGAATTATTCATAATAGTGTTATGAGTAAAGAGAAGGTTGTAAGACTAAGAACTTAAGAGGGGTGTTGTTGTTAATGTTGCATTCACTTGCTGGTGACAGGAACAAGTAGGCTCATGATCTGTCTAGTTTTTTTGAAGAATGCTGTTTTGATTTTCATTGGTTTCATGATACAAATGGAACATACTGCATGAGATTACCACAAAACTCCAAAATACAGCATGAAATCGAGTAACACAGTAACATTGCAAATCTCTTTGTCCCCTCAAAATTGGAGTCCTTTCAAAGAAATCTTCATGTGCTGTCTTTTTTTCTTATTTCTGTTAACAGGTGGCTTAATCCTCTCTTGTCCCAAGGAAGTAAAAAACCTCTTGAGGCAGAGGACCTGTATGGGCTTAGAACACAAGATTCTACCGGTGAACTTGGAGATAAGCTTCAAAGGTAAATCTCTAAATGTTTTATATTACATGTATGTTAACTGATTCTTAAGAGCTCCTCTCTAGTGTGAGACTGAGAGACCAAAATTAAATATACTGGTACATGTTTATTTAATTTCAAACTCCAGATATTACATTTCTAGTGTTCTGACAACTGGGGTTGTGACAAATCATATACCAAATCACCTGATAAATTATGGAAAATAATTCTACCAAGTATTGTCACAGTGTAACCTGAATTACTTTTGGCTGGAAGCAATTACTTTTGCTAGGCACTAAACTATTAAATGGTACATATCTTTGAAGCTCCACTCAAAAATTTTGCTCTTGATATCAATTTTTTCATGAAAAAGTGTCACTAATGGCTAAATTAACTCTAACTCATTTTTATAAAATTTCTGATATTGTGCAGTTTCTCAACCAAAAAGCCTGCCAAAACAAACAGTTCAACAGCTCAAATATGTGGATCTCTTTTGGAATACATTACTGTTGCAAATTTAAAAGGTACCATGGGAAAAGTAATTGATGCAAATTTTTTCCCAAAACCATCAATATTCTAATGGTAGGACATTGAGTTTTTAGAGAAAAAAGACTAAAGGAGTGATGTCATTCTTGATGCACATGAAACTTTTTTCTTCTGGTAAATTAAAAAATTCAGGTGTAAATGTCAAGGTACTCTTGGTAGTCTTCTAAATCTAAATACTGCATTCCACCTGCCTCCCTCTGGAAAAACATGGCCTTGATAGAAAAAAACCATCAATGTTCTAATGGTAATGTAAACATAAGTTTGGGTTAAAAAGCCTTATTTATTACTGCAACATAAACAGAGCAGTTACATGTTCAAAAGGACCAAAGAAATATCCTGAATGCACATATCGTTATATAATCATTGGTGGTGGGCTCATTGTGATAAGTTCAATTGCATGTGCCTATGTTTGTTGCTTCTATATAGCCAGGTAATTTATGCTGTTATGCTTCTAACAGTATTTCGTCACAGTAAGACATTAAATTTTTAAGGGACAAAGACTAAAGGAGTGATGTCATTACTGATGCACATGATGCTGTGTTCTTCTTGTAAATTAAAAAATTCAGGTATAAATGTCAAGGTACTCTTGGCAGTCTTCTTAGTCTAAATACTGCATTCCACCTGCCTCCCTTTGAAAAAACATAGCCTTGGTAGATTATAGAGTTCAGGTACTCATCAACAAGGAACCTTTTCAACACTTGTTTGTTTGTATATGAAGAGAGTGGAAGAAAGAGCGATATCTGGCAGAAGATAAGGAGAAGACCCCCAGCTTATCTCGTGCCATTGTGAAGGCATTTGGAATGGGATATTTGCGTCTAAGTGTTTTTGCAATCATAACTGTGAGTACTCTTAATTTATTCCTGAATTCTTGTTTGGGATTTTAAAGCTACATTTATGATGCAGGTATGGATTTAAATATACACAGTAGTATACCTGCAAAGATATATTTTTTCCCCATTTAGGGCTCAGGACTAAACCACAATTGGTCATAGTGTCACACACTAGAATTAATTTTTTTATTTCTTAAATATTAGTATTGGCCCAGTAAATTTGAAACATTTCAGAGTCTGTATTGTTCCAAAAAGGCAGTTACATGTATATACCACAGACATTGAAGCTGGTGCTTTTTATTTCCTCTTTTTGTGAGTATATTTATTAGTTTAAAATATCTTTAGACTGAAATGATTGTAAACTGTAAGTTTAATTGTTAATTTCCTCTCGACAAAGAACTACAGTATGTATTTTGAACAAAGAAAAAAAGATCCTTTGTAATATTTTCATCTGAAATTCATTTTAAGCTACAGCAAAAATTTGAGTGGTAATTTATTCTTTTGTAGGATGCTTTAAGAATCATTCAACCCATATTTCTTGGTCTACTCATTGGTTATTTCAATGAAGAAACCACAACAACACAGAAGGAAGCCTTTTTGTATGCTCTAGCAGTGTGTCTGTGCAGTGTCATGTCTAGCTTTCTCATGACCCCGTTCACATTTTTACGGCAGTGCTATGGTATGAGGGTTAGGATTGCCTGTACATCTCTTGTTTATGATAAGGTAATTAGGATGTAAAACTCTGTTGCATCAAGGGACTATCTTTAACTACTGCTATTCATGTCAGGATCATATGAGTGTTACATTTTGGACAAAGTTTGTGAAATGAAGCTAGAAGTAATTACATGACAGTTTGCCTTACAAAAATTCTACTGACTGGAAAATTGTATGCTATGACTTACTTGAATTGAAATAAGATCACAGTTATGTTGATCTGCATTCCTGTGTTTTATCCCAGGTGCTTAAGCTCAGCAATGCAGCATTGGCTAGTACAACTACTGGAAATATTGTGAACTTGGTTTCATCAGACACTCAGAAGTTTGACTGGGTTTGTAGCATGTCTGTTATGTGGTGCTGAATGTTATTCATGATGTATTATGTGATGTTCACATTTCATTTTCCCTTGGAAGGCTTGTTTCTTTCTCCACTACCTGGTCCTTGGTCCTTTAGAAGCTGTTGCTGTACTTGGACTACTGTGGAGAGAGATTGGTGCATCATCATTGGCTGGGATGGGTCTCCTGTTTGTCATGGTACCCATGCAGATTAAAATGGGCGATGCTCTTATGTATTTCAGGTGGATATATTTCATAGCATGTCTGTTTTAAGTGGAATTCTGTTTCTGAAACATGCTTCTAGGATAGCAAAATTATATAATTGAAATATTAATTATCTTTCTCTGTAATATTCCTTTTACCTTAACTGTGTCAGAAACAAAATGCTTACCTCTTCTTAGATCATCACAACCTTTATTTGTTCTGTAATTTGCCTTGGGCTATGCACATACTAGAACAATTTATTGCCTGACTACTCCCTAAATTGGATCCTTTGAAGTCCTGTTACTATAATGTATCTTTGATAATACTAACACCCCAATTTTTATGTTCATAAGACGCCAAGCTTCAAGTTACATTGATGAGCGTGTTAAATTGATGAATGAGGCAATTAGTGGAATGCGAGTAATAAAGTTGTACACCTGGGAGGATTCCATTTCACAATGGATCAGGAAAATAAGAAAGTAAGAACACCTGCACACAATAATAATTATTTTGGGGACCTTCTAGAAGGAAGTAGAGTTGACTTACTAGCAATCAGACACGAAACACATAGACCAAAGTACATGTATCTCATGGTCATAATTAAGTTATTTTTTTTGTTTTACCTTAAGGATTAATGAGCAATCTATCATGTATTATTGAATGTCACTTAAGCAATTACCTTTAGCTTGTTAAGGATGCAAACATACAGTACCTTCACACTGACAAAATTCATGTAAATAAGTGGAGAAAAAGTATTTATTATATTTACTGTCACTTTTTGTGTTGATTTAATCTTATTTTTTGAGTTTTTGGGATCATGTGCTGTACAATGTATTGGGGTAGAAGTGCATACACTTTGAACTCAATTAACCATGTTGATGCTATTTTTTTTCTGGATTATCTCTGAATTTTGTTTTATCGAATGTAGGGTTTTCAGTAAAAGCTAGTTACCTATGGTCTGTTGCCACTTTTGAGACCTCTCATCACTGTCTGTTTAGCTTGGGAGCAGGTCTTCTGTTTGTATTTAACCTCAAAGCACCACTGCCTATTACACCATTGGCAGCTGAGTATGAAAGAAATTGTTATGAAGCCCCTGAATGTTACTCTCTCCCATTATGAAATTATGGACTAGAGAGTAACTTGGTTCCTTAAGTGTCTAGTGGAATGATAATTTCTCTTTCCTTTTCAGCACTGAACTCTCCTGGTTTCGAAAGCTGGCCTGTGTGCGTGGCTCATTTTTGTCATTCTTCTTTAGTTCTTCAGTGCTAGTGACATTTGTAACATTCATGACATATGTGTTGACTGGCCACATTTTAACTGCTCAGAAGGTCTTCACTTGCCTGTCTTTGTTCAATTCTGTTCGTATAGTAATGACGCTGTTTTTCCCTATTGCTATAACTCTTATGAATGAAGGAAGAGTTTCCATTGAAAGGATGCAGGTATGTCTAAGTTAGAAACTGTACTCTTCAGTATTATTAATTTCCTTTTAAGGGAAGCAGGGTCATATTAACACAGATGCATAGAAATGGAGCCTTTTTCTAAAAGTAAACATAATCTAATAAATGTATCACCAAAATTTGAATGCTTCCCAGGATGAAAGAAAATTTCTTTTGAAATAACATAAACAACTTGCTTTGAATTTCCAGTAGAATTTGATTCTTATAGGGAAGAGTGTAATACATGTAACATACTGGCTACCATATTGGATTTTATTTGAGGGAGACAAAACAGAGCTCTCATGTTTTTGTTTCTTCTATTGCATCATTGATCATTGATTTTGAGGATGAGAAGTGTGTTCTCATTATCTGTACCATGCAATGAACCTTTTAAAAAAAAGAGAACAAGGAAAGGTCAAAGACTAGGTCATATTTTCGGTAGATTTCTAGAAGTATTCCAATGGTTGCAGTAACTCTGAATTTTGGTGATAACTTACAGTGTGGCTGTAGTTTTTTTTTTTAAGAAGACATACAATGTCATGTAGTCTTGCATATACGTTATCCTTGGTTTGCAAATTAGGTCATAAAAGTCCAAAATAACAAGGGCTAATACAGATTTTCCACTGAAGAACAAAAGACCTCCTGAACATTAACCTTTTGGTAAGGTTTCAGCGTCATGGGGTTCTCCATTTTAAAAAAAGGGCCATTAGAGAGTGACCAGGAAAGCTGACATGTTTGTAAATTGTAATTTTATCATCTGACATTTTGTTCCCTAGGCATTAAAAACATTAAAAAATATGTGAAGATGTGGATAACTAATCACTTTAGTTGCAAAACAAGACTTCAAAATGGCCTCCCCATACTGAGCTCTATAAATTTTTTGTCTGACATTTTGGCAAACAACTCAGCAGCAAAAAACCCTGCAGACCTGAAACTTGGGCAAATTGTTTAGTTATCAGTCATCTACAATAGTTTGCCCTGCTAGCATCAGGCATTCAGTGGTTTAGATTTTGACTGCATGACAGTGCAAACCAAGGATGGTTTACTTAATGCTCACATACTTTAGTCTCTGCCCTTTTTGTATTGCGAATCACAAAACAGTAGTGCAAAATTGCAGCTTCAGTAAGAACAATGCAACTACTGTAATTTGTCAAAAGTTGTCATACTCCTTTGTTGAATCTTACTGTCAGAAAGAAAAATGATGCAGCTGCTTTTGTTTAATGATGTTATTTTCTGTGGAGTCTCACCATCCCAAAACTACAAGACACCAATATCATGCAATCCCAAAAATGCTTGAGATGGTATTTACAAGAGTGGAATGAAATCAAGGGTTCTTGTGAATAGCCACCACCTTTTTTTTTTTTTTTTTTTTTTTTTTTAGAGACTACTTCTCCTAGATGAGTTGCACTCTCATGGTTTGGTAACTTCAAATTTGAGACCAAAACCTGAAGATTGTGGTATTAAAGCTGAAAATGTGTATGCCAGTTGGAATAAGGTATGTTTTTCCACATGTCATTGAAAATTCTTACCATAGACTACATAAAATTATTGAACAACTAAAACTAGAAACAATTGAAGATAATCCCACAGCACTCTCATATTTACTTAAAATGCATATTGTGTACATGTACCTTTTTGACTATACATGTGTTAAAGTTTCACATTCATTCTATATCTTTTTGGTAACAATAATTTCTGTTACGAATTTCACAGAATTTAGTAAAACCAACCCTCAGCAACCTTAACTTTGATGTATCTCAGGTGAGCACAAAGTTGGCCCCCTATTGTCTATTTTTATATTTCACCCTTTTATTTCATTTATTTTTAATCTGAAAGCATTAATTTTTTCTCAAAGGGTGAACTTCTAGCAGTTATTGGAGCAGTAGGCTCTGGAAAGGTTAGTTTATTACTTTGTGAGTCTGATGAAGACTTTTATCCCAAAATATTATTATATGAATTGGTAGTTTCTGAGAAAAATCTGAAAAAAACATGCAATTGTTATTTTCCATTTACAGTCATCTCTCTTAATGTCCATTCTGGGAGAGCTCCCTTTGACTGAAGGTCAAATTACTGTGAGGGGAAAAATTGGCTATGCATCTCAACAGGCCTGGATTTACAATAGTTCTTTGCAACAGAATATTATATTTGGCAGTGAATACGATGAAAGCAGATACAGTGAAGTGATAAAGGCATGTGCCCTACAAAAGGTATGCATGCTCTTCATTCATAACAAATTTTGGACCATTGTCTATTTTTAGTTGAGCCATGTTTTCATTAAAGACTTAATTACAGAGTTGTATTCGCTTATTATGACACTGAGAATGAGTTCTTCCCAAATGGTTGAGAGTTCTGCACTGTCAGTGACTTTGCATAAAAGTTTCTAGGACAACCCCAGTACTCCTTACAATCATTTATATGATAAATGAACAGCTTCAGGAGGGGGACTGGGTGTGAGTGTTTGTGGCCACAGGGGAAATTGTTGTGTTGTACAGTAGCTCAGGGTTTCCCTGGTTTGACATTTCTCATACCAGTTCCACTTTGAGTTTATTATTTCAAGTTTGTCTTAAAAGTTTTCTCTTTTTTTTTCTCCCAAGGATATTGATCTGTTGGCAGATGGGGACATGACTCTTGTGGGTGAGCGAGGTGTTTCCTTAAGTGGAGGGCAAAGGGCAAGAGTTAATTTAGCAAGGTTGTTTTTAATGTTTGAGGAATCTGATTTTTTAGAATTTCTTTTAACTAGAGAGTATAATTTTGTTTTAACAGCAACCATTTGTCATTCAGAGTATTCATTCAGTATGTATTCTTGTATCGCAATACCTACAGAAAAATTTGTCCAATAAAGGGAATAAATTTAAAGTTTTCATTTGGAAGAACACAAAACGTTTACTTTATAAATTATTTAACAGTTGTTTACCAAAGTGAAGGTGAATAGTGGTTGCTATTTACCAAGCCACTAAACAGCAAGGTTAATATCCACTACTTTCTCTAACACTGAGGTGAATATTTGTTTTAATATACCAAAAAGTTAGTTTATTTCTTTGGATATACCAAAAAATGGTCAGAAATTAAATTGATGATGCATGTTTTTTTCTCTATGGCAGCTTGAAGGTAGATAGTACTTGCTAATCATTTGCAAACCAGCCAATCAGCGCACTTGAAAAGTACTATTTACCTATGTGGTACATGTATATACTAACTTGGATAGTTACATCTTCCAGTTAATACATGGAAATGCTAGAATTGCTTTGTATCCCATTTTCATTCTCTATGGTTTGCTTTTTTCTCCTCATAAGTGTCATACTGTGAAATCAAATGATTGTGTTGGCTCACTCTGTTATCAACTCTTACTTTGTATTCTCAGGGCTGTCTATGCTGATGCAGATATTTACATTATGGATGACCCTCTGAGTGCTGTGGATGCAGATGTTGGAAGACATTTGTTTGACAAGTAAATTTACTATATCTTTCTGTTTTCTAGTGCTGATATATAGCTGTGTAGAAAAGTTTTATTGATTTGAAAATGTTTGTAGTGAATACATGTAGTCTTATTGTGAATAATACATACAATCATTCAACTCTCGCCTTGCAGACACCCTCTACTATGGACTTTCACCTTTACAGTATTTTGACCCATATTCTAAGAATTATAAATATCAAATGTGCGCTACAAAAGCGAAAAGAAGAGAATAGTGATAACAATACAAGAAATAAAAAAACTGGAAATTTCTGAGGAGTATACAACGAAACACTGGGTCATTTAATAACCTGCCGCTATTGCGCGCATCAGTAGTGAGGCTTGATGTCTGCAGTTACCGAGCACGTAACTGTCTCCTTCATGCCCCTTTTAGTCTTGTATTTAATTTTGCCTTTTTGGGATAGTTCCATCACCTCTTTACAGTTTATGACGAAAACGTGGTATAAGATAAATTTACAAAATTCGTTTAATCAGTATCTTGACAGATGCAACCTACCAAAAACGTTCCCGATGTTTAGCTACTCGTAAGATTTCAAATGAGCTTCAAAACACCTTATTTTTTCCTAACTGAACTTTCAGCAAAGTTTCTAAAATAAAGTTTAAGAGGCTCAGAGTCATCTTTGATTATAATGCCTTTGCTCTATGTTTTGCTTGTCTGTATCTAGGTGTATTTGTGGACATTTGGCTCAGAAGCCTCGTATCTTAGTCACCCATCAGCTGCAGTACTTGAAGGAAGCTGATCAGCTGCTTGTTTTGTCAGATGTACGTATGTTATTCCATGTGTGAAAACAGGGTTTTGCCTTCACAAATGAACGGACGGACGGGGACAACTCTTAAAAACTCTTCTGGGTAAAGGCTTTCCTTGGGGGCACTCGCTGGCTGCGGGAAGGTAACCGGAATCTATTACGGTTGCTGACTATCCTTGAGAGAATGACTAACGACAACAGGGTTGGCTCCAACGTAGATTTAATCTTCAAGCTCTACTACAATTTTGACCAGAACGGACCTGGCCAGGGCTGGTTCAACCCCGTTCTCTTCCTAACTTTCTCTCACCCTAACCTAACCGCTAAGCTTTACAGAACAGTCCTATTTAAGCCTAACGTACATGGATAACGTAATGTCATGAATAATCTAAAGGATCATGTAATCTACTACACTATTGGCTAAGCAGGAATTTCGCCTTTTACAACATTAATTACTTTTAAAGAGTTCCGGTGGATAACAGTTACACAAAAGGACATGACAGGTGGCTGTTACAGTTTAACACTAATAACAACTGCTTACGGGTGACTAAGGAGAGAACTGGTAGCGTTTACGCTTTGTTGATCTAAGCTTTCTACGTGGAATATTGTATTTTTTTGAGCGTAAGCATGAAAGAACTTGATAACTAAAAATCCTATTGTTACACATGTTCATGATTTATTTAAAAACTAATTAAAATAGTACACTATTCCATAGTCAAGGGAGTGTAACGGTAATTAGTAATTAGTCCTTATTTTAGTGATATCGAAAGTGATAGTATTGCGTTAGCCTCATGATAGTAGGGGTATCAGCCGGTTTCGCTACTTGTCGAGTACGCTACCTTCGAGTTCGCGACATGTTCGCTACTTACATTCCGAATTCGCTACTTACTTCATTCTACTTCCACGATCTTTTAGAAACAACATCTTGTAGAACCAACATCTTGTTTCAAAGAAACCTGCCTCACTCAACCTGAAATGGGCGCCATGTTTTAGCATATTATCGTGGTTATCATCGAGCCCGCGCACCTTCCGTATTTTTGCCTTGCCGTGTTAAAGTGACGTAATAGTTGAACAATTGCCAAATTGTTTACCGGGGCAGTGTCTTCTTACCTTCTTCAGAGCTTAATTTGAAATAATAAATCTTGGTTGTTTTGCGGCCGTATTATTAATGAGCAGCCCATTTTAATTTGGAGTACTGTAAGTGGCCATAACTCGAGGTTTCGTTAACATATCTGTATTTCACTTTTAGCTCCCAAAACTTTTTTTACCTTCTTAAAAGTATCGTAATCTCTTCCTGCAATATTTGCAAGTAAATTACAAAAAGATGTAATGAAAGATTAGAAATGATTTTATCATCTGCTTTGGAAACAATAATTTTTTATCTTGAAGGGTGTCTGCATCGGTCAGGGTAGTTACCAAGAACTTGCTAAATCTGGCTTTGATTTTATGGCATTACTGATTGAGGAAGAGGACGATGATTCTGCCATTGAATCTGAATCTGATGAACCAGGAGTAAAGCGGTCATTTAGCCGGCTCCAAAGTCAACATGGGTTCTCCTTGGGTCGCTCAGACAGTGTTCAATCACGGTCTTCTCACAGAACAAGCTTTATGCTGGAAAGCCAGTTATCAATCATGACATCTGAAACTGAAGTATCCATTTTCGTAAGTTTTGTTTGGATGAATTGCTACCTTCTAATTAATCCCAGAACACATCTCTCAGCAACTGTGAATTTGATATTTTCTTAAAGGACGAGAATATCCTTCCTAAAGAGACTAAGCAAGAAGGTGCGGTGACACGGGACACTTATGTTCAGTATTTCAAGTCATTACACAGCCTGAGTGCCTCTCTTTTTGTGGTGCTCTTGTTTGCAATAACACAGGTAAATCAGAGTGCGTTTCGCGTTTGTGAAGTTTTTAAGTGGTTCTCAGTGGAGTGCCATAATAGTAAGGTGAAGTTAATCACAACGACCTATGAGAAAAGAAATGAAATACCGTGGGAAACCCGTGTAAACTCCAAGTGAGACCTTGTTAACGACCCTGCGCACGGGAATAACGCAAGGGACCAATTTCGGGTATTTTTTTTAATTTGCTTCTGATTGGTGTAGAGGTTGAACAATCACAGTTAATCAGACTTATGCTTTCCCTGATTTTTTCTGAAGTGAAAAATTATTCTCATGTGCAAATAGCAGATTAACAAACCTTGTTTTCACGCCTTGTTTTCAACGTATGAAGTGTTAAATCTTTCACTCATTCGTAACTTGTTGCAATGTTAATAATATATGAAGCTGAAACAATAAGTATTCAATTTAGTTTAGTTTTCAATCTATAACTTGAACAAAAGATTCACATTGCGGAAAGCCAGGATAATATAAGCTATTTAATTTAAACCTCATTTCTTCCTCAGGTTGTCTTTATGTTGTCTGATGTATGGTTGTCTTATTGGTAAGATTTCCTTCTTCACCGTTGTTGATTAATACTCAGACTGCTCCACCGCATTACACGATGACAGTAAAAATGAGAAATTTTTGCCACCCCTGGAATTTCCAGAAGTGGAATTTTCCTGCGTTGCAACTTTGAAAATATTAATTAATGGAGCCAAAATGATGGTAATGCCCGTTTTGAACGATTAGGAATTAAAAATTTTCATTTCTTTTTGGCTGTAGGTGTAATGAAGAGGAGAAGTACCTGTTGGCAACGTTTGATACACACAACACTTCCAGCTCCAGTCAAGGACAAGAACTCAACCGCGATTTGTATCTTGGCATTTACTCCGTGTTTGTGATTTGTCTTCTTTTCTTTACGTTACTTAGGACTCAGCTCTTCTTCAAACTCACTATTGTGGCGTCAAGAAAACTCCACGAGAAGATGTTTAATGCTCTCTTGCGGGCGCCATCTTATTTTTTTGACACAAACTCAATAGGTGAGAGCAAGTGTGCCTGTGTGTGCACTTTTTACGTTATCACAATGTTATAGTTATTTTGACAAATTGTCAGTAGGGACTGCGGTACTGCTTTGGTAACTCTACAGTTGTCCATATTCTGTTAAGTTATTTTAGAACACTTTTCATGCCCCAGCTTACTGAATTCCTTCAAGCAAATCTGTCATCTGTTCTTCTCTAAGGAGCAAGCAGTGTGGAAAAAGGCAAAATAAATACTTTTAATACATTGGGCACAGTTTTTTTGTACAAAATTTTATACAAAAGTCGTATTTAAATTTATTTGTGGATCAAAATAGTGTTTACACTGAGGTAGTGTTGCTAACCAGATTATTATTGTCCTATTATTAAGGTCGCATTCTAAACAGATTTTCTAAAGACATGGGATTTGTTGATGACATGATGCCGTTCACTTACTGTGATTTTCTACAGGTAAAATATTTCTTAACTAAAAGTATGCAATGACTAATATCAAACTTTAGACAGTGACACCCAACTAACCATTAACTGGGTAAGGAGGAAGCCAAAAGCAATAGCATTTGACAATGATATTCTTGGTCTCTGAAAAATTAAAAGTGTATATCTTTAAGTTTATTTTGATAGGGGCTATAGCACTAATTATGATCAATCAAAAATTTTCGCTGGCGCGTTATTGGTCTAAACGCATCATGTGACCGAATATTCCCCTTCTAAATCTGGGGGATATCGGAGAATATACCTTAAGTGATATTCCCTAACTTTCAAGCCTTACGTCCAGTTCGGAAAGCTCTGCGTTTAAAAATTAATGAAAGATGAGGAAGCGTTGTGTGTTTGTTACTGTAGATGAAACGTGTTTTTTTCTTTTGCTCATAAAATCGTACTAGAGAACACTGAAAAGTGAACATCCCAAGCCGTAAACGGTAAGCTGTTCGTAAAGATTTTTCCTGCGCGTTGCGAAATATTTCAGGGATAGTAAACTCGATAGCCTCCCTTTGGCTCGGAGAAAATGCTCGTGTATTTGTCCTTGGACATCATCTGTTGTTCGGAAAACTGTTCCTATCTCAGAACAGATAGTGTCCGTGGGCAAATAATCGTGCATATTTTCGCCCCAAATGGAAGCTATTGTTCATAATTATATACTTAAATCTTGTTTCTAAGATAGAAAAGAGGCAATCAATGTAATAATTATGGTGAATTTTTTCAGACTTTGTTCGTTGTTGTTGGGATTTTGGCGTTAGTAGCCAGTAACAATCCCGTTACATTTGCTGTTGTCATTCCCATCGTGGTTGTGTTCTGGTACCTAAGATCATACTACATGAAGACATCTCGGGAAGTGAAAAGAATCGAGGGAATAAGTAAGTAAATTTGTATATTTTGATCAACTCGTTTCCTTCATATAACTCAGGCGGCAAGGAAAGCGAGCTGTATTCGTGGTGATAAAGTGAGACTTCTACCATATTTATTTCCCATCATTTCTCTATCCCCCACCTCTTATGCCGGAGCTGATTAGGCATCAAGAAAGTGCGTATGAGTCAGTTTTTTTATATGGAGAAAATTAGTGCTTGAGTACAGGATGAGCCAAATGGTTTTTCGAGTACAAGTACACATTCCTGATTCTGATACAGCTCTATATTTCACCGCATGCATTATTCGGACAAAATTTTAATAGGGTTTCCATTGAAGTCAATGGGAATATATTCCACACTCATTAAATCAACAAAATGTGTTTGGTACCCTGTGTACCTTGTCTTCCATTGGCAGAGCATTTTGTTAGAAATCGTGTGTGGATATTAGTGTGATAAAGTCGTCACTGATAATAATATCTGTGCGGTATGGTGATATCATTTTACTCCAGCAAGATATCACCTCGTGAGTCGAATTGTCCAATCAAAAAATATCTTAATTGGGTGGACTAATCGAATTCGCATGTTAAAATCTTTGTGAGAAACAATCAGATGGCTGACGTCTTAATAAATAACCTTCCTCTTCAACCAAAACGGTGCTCTTCCTATAAAGGTTTTAGAAAATTCATGAGATATTTTCGCTCTCGGTTGTTCAAATGCTCCTGTTAAAATCGGGGAATATTCAGCGATATCCCTCAATTTCAAACCTGGTTCCACAGCGTACAGATAATGTCTACAGACAAATGTCCCAGAATGTTTTCAAACTAAATGGAGGCTATTGTTTACAAATTGCCCTCTCAAGCACATAAAAAAATCATGTTATTACTTGTGTACAAGGCAGCGTTTTAGCGCTCCCTCGCGTGTAGACTCGCTCATTCTTGAACATGCGATTAAATATAATTGAATAAATACGACGTCATGTTACGTATCGTTGACCAAGACTCTGCTGTTATCTTGCAGGCCGTAGTCCACTATTCGGTCATTTTTCCACCACTCTGTTAGGTCTGGACACTATTCGTGCATTTGGCGTGGAGGAGGTATTTACGGATCAGATGAACTCCTATCAAGACGCACACACAAGGGCCTGGTTTACCTTCATCTCAACTTCAGCATGGCTCTCTTACAGGCTTGACGTACTCTGTGTTATTTTCATCAGTTTTGTGGCATTAGTATCTCCTGCTCTGAAATCTTGTAAGTGTTACTTAGATTTTAGTTTCGTATATTACGTAAGCTCATTTGCGTGGTAAGCTAATATGGGAATTTTATAGAACAAAAGTCCTTCAGGACTGACTTGGACACTAACGTGGCTGTCATTCTGTTGTTTGGGTGACCGAGACGCCGCGATGTCATGCGAAAATAATCTATTGAGAATCACTACTTATGTATCTCCTTTAATTCAGTACAATCAAGGGAAAGGTTTTCCTCGGATTTTCCATAATAAGCATACATTGAGACGTAGATTCCCTTGGGTTTTATCGATATGCAGATCTGGCAATGAGCTCTTCTGTAAACACGGCCTAGGTCAGGAAAAAGTGTAAAATTTCTTTTAGGTCAGGGGAAAGTCAGGGAATTTCACTTTGAATCAGGGAAAATTTAAATATTTGACAGAAGTCAGAAAAGAAAAAATTTCAAGTAAATATGAAGTCCAGGATTTGAGGATTTCTGCAAGTGGAGGTTGGAGGCCATTATCAGGACTCTGTTTTAAATTTCAAAACCTAAGAATATGGCAGCCGTTATAAAGTGGATTTGTTGTACAAAGTTAATTAAGTTGAGCTAAACTGTTCTCCGACTATTTCACTCTTTAAGCAATATTGTCGTAACAGTATCAGGGTGAATAGCATATCCATCTAAGAGCGGTTTGGAGAATGGCCCCTGTTTTGTGCACAATGGCTTAGTGTAATGTGTTACTATTAACTACGCATGAAACAGAACTCATTTGAATTTTGCAGCTTTGAGCGCTGGTGTGGTAGGTCTTACGCTAAGCTACGCCATTAAGATATCAGGTGTGTTCCAACAGTGCGTCAAGCAAAGCGCCGAAGTTGAAAATTTGGTGAGTGCGACCAACTGGTTACTTTTCATTAGTGATGCATTGTTTGATTGTTAATCAAGGTGTAAGCGCGTTTTAGGGTGCTTAGAATTTTGGTTTTGATGTCTTCACATAGATGACGTCTGTTGAGCGTATCCTGGAATACTGTAACCTGGAATCCGAAGCCCCTAGAGAAACAGATACGAAACCTCCTGACGGCTGGCCACCTAAAGGAAGAATAGAATTCGAGAAAATGAGCTTTAGATATCACAAATCTTTACCCAGAGTGCTGCACAGCATATCGTGTTCTGTTCAACCAAGTGAAAAGGTAAACAACGCTCTTTGGACTCCTCTTTTCCTCTTTTCGTTTCTTTTATATAAAATATAAAAACTCATCTTTATTACATTTCGAGTTAAAAAAAACGGCTGTGGAATAAGGCTGAGTTTTAAATTCATAAGTAAAATATATTAGGACAATAATGAAGCCATGCCCTTTTATGATCTGTATTTGATCTATTTGTCAACATTGTAACCATTAACCTGCACTTCACGTAATATCTCTCGTTAACTTAGCCGTTTAGCTTATTTTGGTACATTGTAAGTGCTCTTCAATGATGTTTTATGGCATGAATTTATTTGACTATAGTCATGAACACCCCTGATTCAGTTTAATGTACACCAGTTCTCTCTATAAAGCCGCTTAACCATACCCCCAGAATTTTGTTTGAGAAGAATAATTTTTACGACAAGAACAACAAGAGCAGCAGCAACAACAATATGGAAGGTATTAGCATTTCAGGTGCGGAGTGTTATTGTGACAAAAACCTTCTTGGTTCATGATTTTAGATAGGTGTGGTGGGGCGCACAGGTGCTGGGAAATCGTCCTTGCTATCCACCTTGTTCCGCCTGGCAGAGCCAACTGGTGTCATACAAATTGATGGTATTAACATACAGGAAATTGGGCTGAAAGACCTGAGGAGTAAACTGTCCATCATACCGCAGGTTAGTGGCGCGGGAGAAGTGTTGGGTAAGCGTGCATAGGCATACGAAGTCTCTCACTCACCTTTGACTCATCTTTTTCAGTCCAGAGGGAATTTTGAACTCTGATGTCTATATATTTTTTCACTGAATGTTTTGTTTCCTTTTTAGGAGCCTGTTCTTTTCAGCGGCACCATGAGAAGAAACATTGATCCGTTTAGAGAACACAGTGACTTAGATTTGTGGAGAGTATTAGAGGAGGTTTGCAAATCATGTACTAATAATTGCATCATCCTAGTTTGTGGTCCTTGTTTGTATTTTTTTTTATCACCCGTAGAGACCGACTTCATGAAACAGAGAGCGGATTGTTAAATACAGTGAAAGAAACATTTTAAGGTCATTTGTGCTTGATTACAGTGATGAACGTCACATAAAATTAAGACGAATACTCCAAATTCGTACAATTTTTACAAAAAATTTCAGCTACAATTCTGCTGCCCACAACCTTATTTTCCTTTGTTATCTCGATTTACTTCGCACATTTTCACTATTAGGAAACAGCTACAAAAACTTCGATACCACAGACACCATGAAACACTCGAAGTAGCTAGTTTCATTTCTTTTAACCTTTACCTTTGAGGCACTTTTCTTAACACTGTATGTGTTGCGGTTTTTACTCTTTGAGTCCTTAGTGTCCCGACAAACATTGTTTCTTGATGCAAGTTGCGTTAATTCCCCTTATTTTGAAATTTCAGCTGTTCTATCGTAATAAATCCCTATTAGAAGGTATTTTTCCCTTAGTTCAGGCCCATTCGTCAATTTGTTTTATAAAATAATTCAAATAGTACGCGCGCTCTGATTGGCCATAAAACCATTTTACATGAGCGTATGTAAACACGGTTTTCCTTCCTCTTCCATTGGTTATTTTATAAAAGAAATGTAAAATGGTTTCCGTGTTTACATAGCCTGATGTAAACACGTGGGAGGTTGGGAGAACACGAGATAAGTGTAGGAAACCACGACGCGAAGCGGAGTGGTTTCCAGCTTATCGAGTCAGGCTATGTAAACACGGAAACCATTTTACATTTCTTCAATAACCGACGTACATTATTATGTCAATATTCATTTTCCAGTATTTTAAGCATTGTAGTTATATATCCCATTTTTTTAATACGTTTTGCTAGTCATTTTACTGGGGATAAATAAGGCTTATTGTTTCTTTCTTACTAATTTAAATGTGGAACATCGACTGAAATTTTGAAAAGTATAATTTGAACCTTATTATTGTCCTTATATTACAACAAGAAGAGTTTCATTTGCTCGACTTGTTTCTCTTAGACGAGGTGGTAGATAACAGTACTAGAAATATTCTGCTAATGTTGTTAGGTGCAGTTAAAGGTTGCTGTTGAGAGCACCAAGGGAATGGATACAGAGTTTGCTGAGGCAGGCTCAAACTTCAGTGTTGGTCAGCGTCAACTAGTTTGTTTAGCTCGGGCCATTCTGAGGCAGAACAAGATTCTGGTGATTGATGAAGCCACGGCGAACGTGGACCCCAGGTTTGTGAATCACTGAATTGGATTACACCTATGTTCAGTTTATTTCTGTACATACTAACCTTTATTCTGCGGAATAACACGTATTCTTACTTATGTTGTTACTGTTGGTGTCATTTCGATCGAATTGTCGCATGCTGATAATATATTATTATTGTATTGTTACTTATAACACTAAAGTCGACCAACTTTCCTTTGCAAGCCATCTTATTCTTTGCTTCATTGTGAAATTATATGTAAAGGTGAAAACTAAGGTAAAGAAATTTTCATTTGAATGTTGAAAGCGAAACAGGGATTTCATCTGATTTATTTTGTGTCACTGAAGTTTGTGATTGGTCTAAAAAAGGTGCACTAATTTTTAATAACTCAGGTGCAAATCTTAAAATTTATAGCAACTTAGTTATTTATAGCGACTAAGCGACTTAGTGTTGAATTTTTTTTCATTACTTTTAGGACAGATGCCTTGATCCAGGCCACCATCCGAGAAAAGTTTAAGCACTGCACAGTGTTGACGATCGCTCATCGTCTGCATACAATTATGGATTCAGACAGAGTTATGGTACTGACCCACTAAGAATGAAGTCATCTTGAATTTAATGTCAGTGTCTGAGCAACTGCGCACCTACCCTTCATTAACCCAACTTTAACGCTAGCTTGTCATCAGTTGACTGTCGATGCGTTAGGGAAGGGGTAGGTGCGCAGTTGCTCAGATATTAACATTAATCCCATCAACTTTCCCTCTCTGCAGTCGAAGCATTTTCACTCGTGTTGACGAAAAGATTTAAACACGTGGCATGGCGATCGCCATTGATATGCTAACGTTATGGGAAAATCCCGTTTGACAGTTTGTGAGAACAGTGTGGGAAAATCTTGTGTTTGTTTTTTCTTAACTTCACTATTTTGCCTTTTAGGGTAAGACCTTGCTGTTTAGTGAATCCGAACAAATGGGATATATCAGTTTCATAATGCTGCTTGTGCTAAGTTCATTGTTAACCTATCAGCTGCTTTATAATTTAGTTTGTAAATAGCGCTTTATGTTTTGGATCTAATACTGTACTATAGTTCAACGAATTAAGAATGCTTTTTATCGTAATATTTCTCCGAGTGTAGTCGAAATTTCAAATTTCATACACGACAATTTAAATGAAGGTTTTTAACATTGAAACGATGTAAATTGGCTTTAAAGGCTAAGAAATAGAAACCTTTTCTTTTTCAGTTTTTCGTCGGGCTCGAGCCGTGCAGTTGACAGTTTTTGTCTTTTTCGTTTGTTCTACGAATAACTCGTCTGCGTCTCTTTGATTGACGCGTGTGAACTAAAAATAGCAGTAACGGTAATCCATAAAACTACGCAAATTAACATAGCTGATAAATCGACTATAGCATAAGCAACATCATAATCTGACAACGATCGGAAATGCACTCAAGAAACGGGCTTTTCCCCAGAAAACAATATGTTGAACTTGCTGGAAAAAATCATTGGAGGATTTTTTGAGACCAGTCCCAAAAACTGTCTTAACGGGATTTCCCCTTTATCTAAGGGGTTATTGTAAGGCCACGCCCACTATTTGAACTCTTTTTCTTTGGTGAACACCAGCGAAAATCGTTCGATTGTTCGAAGGAAAGTAGGATTTCTGGCGCTCTAAATATCACTAGTCGTGACCGAGTAAGACTCTTTCCAGTTCTCTTCAGACTAAGATATTAAATGTTTCTTTCATCTTATGCTTTCAGGTTTTAGATGCAGGGAGGCTGAAAGAATTTGATGCTCCATATACGCTCCTAAAGAACCCCAAAACAACTTTTGCTCAGTTAGTGTCTCAGACAGGACCAACAGAGGCAGGACGATTGTTCGAGATAGCTCGGCAAAAGTTTTACTCAAAGAAAGCCATACCAGAAGTAGCGGAAGAGGAGATAGACGGGCAACGTAAAGATTTTTTGGATGAGTTTTCCTCGTCTAATACCTTGACTGCTATTGTTCCTAACGGAAGTGGCATCGAGTCTCAACTCCAGTTTGAGTCCACTATATAGTTATTTAATATCTTTTTACACATCACACGTGCACAGAAATGATCTTTATAAACACCGTCAGAGCTTTGATTACGTCGTGAAAGGTTTCTATTTTTTATATCGTATATAAATTATTATAATTACATATTATAATTATTTTTACGATAATGTAGACTCAATATTAGTTTTCGGTGGCAAACTTTCCTTTCGGCGATGACGATGTAGGGCTTGACCTGCGGACACGGTCACCAGTCCGTACGCTTATCGCCCACTTTAGACTGCTCTTAGTTCACAAATTCTAATAATTAGGCTAATTTGACTTTCAAAAGATTTTCTTTCGTTAATTTAATTTCAAAATAGATTTGATCGAGAGTTATGGATTTTTTATTTCTTATTTTATTTCTAATTTTTTTTTGAAAAAATAAACTGGGTAAGTCTTTCTTAGAGTATTGAGTGGTATGTTGCTCACACCAATCAGATCGCCGCATCGAGGTATGTATCTCGCAACGACCAAGTCACGGCATTGAGGCATTTTTGCACCAATCGGAGCATCAGAGCACTGTCCCTCATATCAGTCATGTCGTGGAATTAGGGTCTCGTTACGCAGTAGGGATGGAGAGAGAGCGTCGCGTGACGAATCCAAAAAACGGCTGCGAAGGAGACTACAGTAAGCGTGACACTAATGCAGTTTATTTCTCCTTTTAAAAAACTATTCCCACAACAGCAACAACAGACCTTAAACTGCCTTTGCGTAAGCTTATTTCATATAAATTGGAATGATTTTTTTTACTGTTTGATCAAGCAGCGTGTTACCAAATTGAAAATGGATTTTTGACCTCAAGTGCTTCAGATGTAGATTTATCATAAAGCAAGTAGTGTCATGATGTTCTAAACAAAGAAAACTGTTTGGTACAGTAATTATTTCTTTACTATGTTACTTAATGCAGTTATATTAGATATATAGTTTCGATATTTTTCAAAGATTTCTTATAGCATATATTGACAGCCTGAAAAGTTGAAAGAAATGTAGTTCATGCAAACTAAGTTGAAGTCAACAAATAATATTCTCCATGAAAGAAACATTTTACGATTTTGTAATTAAATTGATACACTGATACTCTACTATACTTTTGATCTATAACTAAAAGATGAGTGTGGTGTTGCAGCATGTTAATTGAGTTGGCCCTAATTAAATGCCTTTTCGATCAATTTCCAATTTTCAATGAAACACGTCAATCCTCATAATACGTCGCAAATTCAAGATGCAAGCGGTCGTGAGTGGTGTAACAGTAGATGCGCGGTGGGGGGAGAGGTGGGGCAGATTATCAACATCTTGGATTTGTGAGCGGGACATCGAGCGTTATGCTCCATGACTTTGCTGGCGAATTCCGAAGAATATCTCATAAGTCTCTATGCGGAGACGAAACGCTACATCATACCAGCAACGAAATATTTTTCATAAATAAATTTTAGCATGCTCTACTTATTAGAGAAATTTCATTGAATAATGTTGAATCTAAGAACTTTACCGTTCAAAAAATGAAGACAACAACTAAACCAAAAATGACACAGGCACTGACTAGAAGAAAAAGAACTCCGACCAGAGTGCTCCTAATGGGAGTCTAACCTACGACCTTTCGGGTGGTGCTTGAGCTTATGTTATGGTTGTTTTTTTTTTTATCAGAAATGATAATCATGATAAAAGAAAAAAACAACAACCCTGTGTTACTAAGTAGTCCTTTCTGTACGAGCGTCCCAACAAAGACTAAAAGTAAAAATACCATATGACACAATTTGATGAAAGTCAATGGTTCCATGACCTAGCTCAAGAAGTGTATGTTGTACTTTTGTGTGATATCAAGCACTTTATGAGGATAATTCACGGTCATCTTTTCGCCAATACTCTGTCAATCGGAGAGATTTTCATGTGGGTAGGAGTGGCTTTACTGAAGCTATTTGCCAGCTGGTTAGAGAAAAAAACTGTCTTTAAAGTGCCAATGACACGGAATTTTACTCTTATATGTCGTCGGCCTTATGCTCCGTACCGACTCCGAAGACGGCTGTTAATTACGAACTCATACCACTATACAAATCAGGGGAAGATAACCATTGAATTCAGCTAAAAAGAAAGCTGATTAAGGGGCCTGTTCCCACACCGTACACGATTGTTTAACAATCTTTTCGGCTGACATTTCTCAAGCGAAGAATGGCGACTTCCTTAATGTTATTAATTTCACGTTTTGAAATGTACTTATACTCCTTGTCTTTCCACATGACTACGTTTGCACCTTTCTTTTCGTATGAAAATCCGACAAATTGTATCCTACTATCGTATTTTAATAACAGTAATAAGTCATTTGTAATAAAGTTCAAGCCCTTTCCTGAGCCGACCGATATCCTGTTGCGTGAACAGTCCGAAACCTCTGGCGGATACTGCGGGTATAAACGCACGCTCGAAGGGGCCGTGTATTCTCCTAACGTAGGTTTCCGAAAATCCATCCCACGAGGCATCAATTCTCCCCTGCCCTCAAGAAAATAAAAGTAGAAACAGAAGCAATGTCACTGTGATAACAGCACTGCAACGAGGTAAATAAAGAAACACAAATTTTATTGAATTAGATGGTAGCGAATTCAAGTGCTGTGAGAAAGTCGATACGTACGAAATATTCATTTACGATACTGGTGTCAGTTATTTGCCTTTGAGCGGAATGGTAGTATGGCAAAGCTGTACTTAAACTAAATAAGATTTTCACTATCAAAGTCCCTGTTTGAGAGTAACTTGAATCAGATGACTATAAACTCACTCGGTTTGATCGGCTCGACGATCGCGACGATAGCCTCGGCCTTTGCGATCTCTAAAGAAAGGAGTAACTTACAGTGAAACTGCTCGATGACTTCTTGGCGAAAAAATCATCGTGACTCGTGATACAGCTGATTCTTTCGTCAAAAGTTGGGTTTTGGTTTGAAGGTAGCAAAGCTTGTCTTGACTCATGTGTCTTTATTGACTTTTTAAGGAGGCCGTTAAGAAATCCTAAAGTTTGACATTTTTGGATACGTAGCCGTTTTATCTAGTTTTATCGCAATTTGCTTTCCCTTGCGTTTTTTTTTCTTAATGTCACTCAGCTTACCCTTTATGAGAGCGAATGTGGTTACTTGAAGAGTGAAAGAGCTTTTGTCCTTCTGCAAATCAATAATACATACCTCGGGATGTTTCCTCGCTGAAGTAGTTGTTGTATGGCAATAAATAATTTAGTTAAGTTTCACCACACGGCAAAATTTGACTGGATGTCTCTTTTAAGTGACTTTTTAAGTTGTTTATGTTGTCCTAACTTAGAGGTCTATGCATATCAAAATCTTAAACTCGCGGTTGTGTTGCTAAAATGGATTTCATATTTCCTATTTCAAAGTTAGATAGGCCAAAGCATGACTAGATCCACACATAGTTAATTTGGTCAAATTCCCCATTATCTTATTTTAACAAATATTCAGGTATCAAACACTGGCAAAAGCCGAGCTTATTTCAAGCACTTAATCGTTATGTGGGCTGAACATCTCCGCCTAGAGGAACAAGTTTGTTTAATGCCTTCAAAATGCTAAAACCGTCTTTTCTAATAATCTAACATGCAGCGGTTTGATTTTGGAAATCGCTGGGGTTTTATTTCTTAATCTACGTGGTATACTCACGCTGATCACGCTGTCCACCAAGGTAAAAGTGCCTTGTAAAACAAGTTTTGATAAAAAATTTCAAGCAACTTTAAATCAAAAGTTAATTTGTGTTTGGTGCGTTCAAATACAATCCAATGTTTTCGCAAGATTTCTTTCCTCGAGAAGATTATGACCCTCTTCAAGTGGAGCAACATCATCGAAGAACAACGGCTGGATAGGGTCGTTTCTTTTCGATAGAATGATTTAAAAATAGTGAATAATGCTGAAGGAGCTGCTATTAGAGGAACTGGCTTGAAAACATTTTTGTGCAAATCCAAACTGACTGCATTGTGGAAATGAAGGCTTAGATCGCTTGTTGGCCAGTTAACGATCACATTGAATGCTACTGAACTGCTCAATTCAGTCCACAAGTAAATCTATTCCAATGGCTAACCAAGTTAATCACGTTTGAAGCAAGTTAGGCACAAAAGAAATAGTGCTTCGATGCAGATTTAACACGTTTATCAGCATCAATTCAATGCGGCCTTCAGTTGGGTCAATTAAAGCGACCTCTGCGGGCGGGTTTGAATAAATGCGATACACAGACTGAATTATCATCTTCCCTTTTGTCAATACTCCTTTGGGCAAAGATGAACCTTGGACGGATGACGTCGATCTATTTCGATGGAGTGACCTTAACACAATACACGATCCTGAAGGAGCTGTGGCTACAGGAAATAACGCGGGAAGTGTTTTTGTAAGAATCCAAAGCTACTGCATAGAGCAAATTGAACCCTGAGTACCCATTGAATAGAACGACGAGTTATTCAGGTAAGCTTAAATAGTAACTAATCGGGTGAGAGTGTAATACAATATTCTGTAAAAGGTACGATGGAGTGCCTGGTACATCATTGCTCAACTTGATCTCGGCGCGATGTTTTGTTTCGCTTTAATTGTCTTTGTCAAATTCAATTTGACACCTTAAATCAGAAGTCCGTTGGTCTTTCTTGAAGCAAGGGAAGGTAACTAACAACTCTCGTTCTCATCTTATTTCAAAGGCGTTGTAGTAGTTCTGAAAGAGGACTAAGAGATCATTCATTCGTTGATTCGAGTTACGTACTATGTTCGAACCAGTCGAATAAGGCTTGTTTCAAACGCCGTGCGGTTACCATCTCGTGCTTGACTTATTGCATTCCTGGCTCATCGACGGCAAATTATTGGAAGCCTCAAATTAAGTTTAAGATGGTAGAACTGTAAAACACGCTTTTATTGTCCGACACTCTGCAAATAAGACCTGAATATCGACCCGCTGAGAAACCCGCTCAGTTCAGAGAAACTTATTTTGATCAACTTTCCGTCATAAAGCAGACACACACAGTTGAAAGTTGTCCCATTCTTGTATTTTGAAGCTGAAACGGGCTTGTCTTACCACACATCCTTTTTTATCGACTTTTCGACGATTCCGTGAAATGTGTGGCGAGCGTTATTCTGGATGGGTAGTATGTACGTTGATATAGCTAAATATATTTGTACGTCATCCAGTTGTCTCTGTAAATTTTAATTTGAAGGTCAGCTATTGAGGTGGGTAGTTTTAGATAATCAAACAAATAGCCTTGTTCAAAGCTAGCAGATGATACGATTCAGTATCTTCTATTTCACGACTTAGATCACTATATAATCAATCGACATGTTATGTCATGTTAAGCTTCAATTTCACTTACTGTTCGCTTCGTTGTTGAATCTATTTTTAGCTTTGTGGGCCGCTTATAGAAGTTCCTGTTTTACCAAGTAAAGGTGAAAAATTAAGTAAATTTTCGGTTAACAAGATCTAAGGCAAATTTATTTAATTTAACGAGACTTTATGCCTATTGAAGCACTTTCAGTTTCACACCTCATTTGTCAGCGTTAACTTATCCATTACAAAACTGCTCCAGGCTCATGTCGTCAGTAGACCATGGTAACTATTAGATTAGCATAGTTATCTCCTCTTGAGCAGGGTCCTTGATCAGTTGTGGGTAAGTTATTAGTTACATAAATATTGAATTTAATAGTGATGTGGGCCCCCTTAGGACCGGTTTAATGAAGAACTTTGGATGGATATTGATCAACTTAATGATTATCTCTAATAGTTTTTGATAGTTATCCATGGAGTGTCTGGTGTAGTCTTGCATTCTCTGATGGTTATCCTCAGGGTGATGTCACGAGTTATGTGACAAAACGTCACGTAAGAGTATCGGTATCGTCAAGTTGACAGTCCTAACAACTACTAGTTTCAGTAGTTATTTTAGCAGTGCAAATATGTGAATTTTCATATATCTAAAATCTTCATTCACTCGGATGTTTATTTGTACCCAATTCATTGACCAGCTCCCAGTTGGCTTGTTAGCTCAAAGAGCGCTGCAATCAGATTTTTTTTCAGGTCCTACTTACAAAAATATCACGTAAGTTACGTAAGGTGTTATTTTAGTGGGAGAAAGAAAAAAAATCAACAGATTTTTCAAAAAAAAATTTTAATATTGGAAAAACCTTAAATGACAAGCGGGACGTGTACTCTTCCCTTATGGAGAGTGCCCAGCTGTGAACATATTTTACCCACACACAGTTAAGCATCATTTTAGCCGAGGAGCGCTACCCAGGGTTCTAAGCTAACGATCTTGGAAGGGTCGAGATCGATACCTTCACGGGCTTTGTAGGCAATCGTCACCCACTTTCGCTTGCCATCCGCTAGCTTCCTCTTTGATTTTAAACCAAGTGTTCTCATAATCTCGGAAGAGACCTTCAAGAGTTTCAGGAAAATACCAGACTTCGAGAAGAGTAACGATGACGTATCCCTTCTTCATTGCTTTCTCTAACTCTCGTCCATATGTCTCTTTCAACATATTCTCGAAATCCTCCATTAAGCATTTTCGTTCCTTCGTACAAGCTTTTAAGGATTTTTCATTTTTTTCCAGCCCATTCCCCCCCCAAAAAAAAGGTTCCGAGCAGTTCTTTATTTTATTTGTTCAGTTTGCAAGGAACACACTGAATGTCTCATGTCAGATCATTTTATTTATTCATCCAATGAACCTTTCCACTATGCAACTCTTCTGTTTTCTTTGTGAGTCGGTTAATTTCTTCTTTCGGTTGGTCAATGTTATAATTGTTTTACACCAACAATGTGACCAAGTTTTTCAATGTTTCCATTCTTTTGTCGCAGGCAGCTGCAGAAGGCATGAGCATGAAATACACTTATTTGACCATTCTACCTACTTTGTGCATTTGTTTCCAGGTAGAGTTTTAGTAAGTTTAACCATTATATCCAGTTAAACCAATTCAACTGTCTAACAGCAATGGTGAAAGAGCAAAAAGACAAGGTACCGAGCCGCAGCTAAAACTCTTCATGTAGGCAGCTCAGGATATTGCTTGCTTGTCTGTTAAGAGGCGACAGCAGCATTCTCAATGCTGCAGAAGGCTTTGCACAATCCGATACAAAACCCACGACCATACTGAGTCAAGAAACATATCCTTTTTATGAGTTTTCACGTTCACTCAACTCTTTCAAAACGTCATTGTAACGTTTGAGCTTAGCCGTTAAAGGAGATGATAAGGGCACTCTTCATTTCAAAAGTTTTGACATTGATGGCATTAATCCGATCACTATTAGCATGTTCGATCAATTCTTTTCTTTTCAAACGGTTTCCTTCTCTCAAGATGGACCTGAGAAATTCTTTGTGTCTCTGGATTCTCCTCATACCTCCCATGGTGAGTATCTAAGTTTGTTATGACCTTCCCACTCACTGCTTCCATCCTTTAGTAACAGGTATTGGATGTCTTGCCTAATATACTGAGAAGGCCAGCACCTGATGATGGCATTATAGGAGCACCTGCGCACCTTTACTTTAGGCAACTTCGGCACAACCCCTCTATCCCAAATTTATTTCCCTATTCAACTTAAATAAGCAATAAATTGTCTTATAAATAGGTCCCTTAACATAACAAAATATATCAAAAATATTTAGTTTTCAAAATTTGCCATTTTCTTGCCTGCTTTAAACAAGTTTTTCGCCATGATTATCAAAAAAAAAAAATGTACAATTCATCGTGTTTTATCGACTTTTTTGGGCAAACTTCCTATGAATGAATAAATTTTATATCATTTTTTAAAATTATACTAGTTTAAAAAGCATCCAAAATATCTCATTTGCATTTTAGGCGATTCGGTGCCCCCGTAATGCTATCATCACGGGAGTGTAATTTTGCGATGTTATGTTGTTCTTACATCAAAAACATGTACGACTTTCATCGTGAAAACCAGTCAAATAACTTTTCTCATGCTTTGTTTTCAATTTGACTAGTGTATTGTAATATCTGCTCCACGCGTGATAATCAAGCGTAAACTATTTTGATTTATAATATATTTATAAATATAACTTATGTAATATATATGTATATATATATAGAAAATCAGTCTACCGAAAAAAATATTTTTTATATGAATATGTTTTTTTAATAATACAACTGGTAAGCACCATTTCATATTAAGCGATAACGAAATGAACGAGTTTTACCGTTTATTTCAAATAGTAGAACACCAATAAAAGGTTTGTTAAGTTTTTATAGCAATATGATTTTCTTTGATAATTATTATAAAGTTTCTTTGTAAGATTTGTTGTAACGTGATTAAAATTTATTACTGGTATTTTCATATAATTTAAAGCACAAAAAATTATTTTAATCTTGGCGAGTATTAATAATATATGAAAGAGCTTGGATCATTACTTTTTCAAAGTAAAGGTTGTGATAGGATCTTGATTCATTTCAATAATAATTGATTAAGCAAATTTTTGTTTAGATTTTTCGGTGTTATTGCATTTAAATCAGTACTATCTTTTGAATTCGTAAATTTGTTTCTTATTCTTATCATTATGTGTATTGAATTACTATCTAAAGCTGCAATCAAACTAGTGATTATAAGTATCTTATCTATTAAAGTTTTACTAATATTCAATGCATGTGATTGATCATTTCCTAATGATGTTGGTGCTTATAAACCCACATCAAATTATTTACTTGAATAGCTTATTCTTGCTCCTCCTCTTGCACCAGATGGTGTAAAATATGATTTCATATGGTTGAATTTGAATTGAGTTAATTTACCCTATCATTTCATTTCAATAATTGAATAATTCTTTTTTTTAATTTATTGATTTCTGTTTCAAGTTCTTTTACCTTTTTCATGTTAACTACATCATAATCATTTACACCATCACTCAAATTAATATTTTTTATTGTTTACATCTAAACCTTTTTAAAGAATAAAAGGGTATCTAATTGTATAGTAACTGCGTAAATTACGAAATGGTTTTTCATAAACATCATCATAAACATCAATTACTTCACCTTCAACACCAAGAATTACGAAGTAAAATTGCAATTCATTTGGTGTACTTGGTTGTTGGTTATTATTTGTGAATTTTATTGTTAAATTTTCGACATTGCTGTTGTCACGTTTTCAACATGCAATATAAACACTTTCTATAATTTATAATATTTGTTTTATAATCACTTATTGATGATGAATTTCTTTTCATCATTTTTGTTGTAAAAATCAGATCTATTTCTTCATTGATAAACGTTTTATTGTCGCTCATCATCTTTTTTTATTTGTGTTTTGGAAAAGTGTAGATAAGTTTATTCCAAGTTCACCATTATATTTATTATCATTTGTTTTCCTAGCAATATTTCAGCAGTCCTTTTCTTCAATTTATGAATTGAATTATTGTAATCACAATCTTTACATTTAAATCTCTTGTTAACTCCCTATCGGGTTGATTCATGACACATGTATACCATATATCTTCCAAATGTTTATTGTAAATTAAGAGCATGTTTTGTCGCATTAGGATCTTTTGTACCAATAATTTGATTATTATTTAAGTCAGTTGTAATTCCTTCCCACTTCCTTCATTTAATTTATGATCAGAAATATTATGTGCGAGTAAACCATTTTAATAACCCATATAATAACATAAGACAACTTTTTTAGAAGAAGTTTTTTCTCGTGGTTAAAAGAGTAAGGTACACTTGTTGCACTGTTTAATATATCTTGGTCAATTTTATTTTCATTACAAATCATTGATTTTTCTCCACTTGACCAGAGTATCCTTATATCCTTTGGCGTTTTATAATAAGATTGAGATAGATATATTATTGAGCAATTTTTCATGTCTCTCACCAATAAAGTATTCAGCAAGTGGTCTTCGAATTTTTCCATATATAAAATCATCGAGAATTATTATCCTTTGGTTTCTCACTCATCTACTTTAAACGTATAATTTCATCTTTACTTACTGCAGCAACATTGTATCCTACGTCTCTACTTATTGGATCAAATGTCTCAATTAAGCTTCTATATTTACTTCAAAATTTTTTGAGTACAGATAGATTTTACCATAATAAAGCAATCTGTATCATTTCAAGAAATAGATTGGTTTTACCTGCTTCTGAAGGTGCACATATCAACATTCTGAAACATCTATCTGGCATGAATTTATAATCTGTCTTCTAAAAATTTGTTTCACCTTCTTCTGTACCATAATTATATATTTTCATTAAGTATACATAAAGTTTCAGTTAACTTAAAGTGTGACTTGAAGTCATAGTTATATGTCGATATTTATATTTATTATACAAACTGCGGAGTTGTACAAGGATATCCAGCCAGGAGAAAAGCTGTAATAACACACGTGCAAATTTAAGATGTTTTTTCCGTGTATTTGATGCCGCCAATCAGCTTTTGCCGTTTTAACGAGCAGTTAATAGTTTTGTCTTTTGTCTTTAAATCTAATAATTTTGTTTTTTGCCAAAAACGAGCTCAAACAGTACAAAGTAGTCGCCAAAATTTGGCAGAATGTCTTGAACTTCATTTTCATCATTTCCTGGTAGGCTGCTTCAGTCTATTTAATTCACAACTTCTCGACCAAACAGAAATTTCTGATCTCAGCCCGCACCATATTTGTTTATAATGAAGTGATCTCATTGCGTGAATTTGTCAACTATTATCAACTATCATGAACCATTTGAACGCAAATATGATAGACAAGTATGGTGAGTGAAAGTTGAAACTATCATCAACTACCATAACCGTTTTAAAGGGGCTTTAGCGCGAACGCACTTTACGATCATCGATCCTTTTATTTCCATTCATTAAAAAGTCGACTTTTTTTCAGTAAAGGGCTATTTTGTTTATATGATAAACAAAATAATACATGGTTGCTTTTAGTTTTATCTTCGCTGCGCTCACTTGTGAACTGTCAAAATGAAAACTTGAGGAGAAATTCCATATCTATTTGTGACCATATATTATTCTCTATTTAATTAACGTTTTTATCACTGTATTATCACATCATGAGTTTAGATAAGGGGCGTTAATTCGCAAAAAGTAAAACTGAATTAGGTTAGGAAATTAATAAAGTGAAGAAAACATTCAGGCTAATTACTTCAAAGTTAGATGATGTTATTTCTATCAATTTATTAACGCCTTTGCAAAAATAGAAAATAAAACCACCAAAAAATTGCACCTGATTATGGTAGACCTGTTGATGATGAAAATAAGACACGAATCGTGATGATTTGTTTGATTAAGGTTTTGGGTTGACCACCTAAATAAATAGAATATTACATGAATCTAGATATTGATCTCCCTCTGCTTTATGAAGGTTATAATTACCCTGATTATGTAATTGATGATGATGATGACAATGATATTTATGGTGAAAAAAGAACATTCCACTAACGGAAATTAGACAAGACAGCCACAATTTAAACTCATCACGATAGCTTAAACCTTTTAACTGCGGACCTCGGATTCATATGCTAACTGAATGCTAAATATAGACAAATGATTAACTCATATTGGACGAGCCAAATACTTCAAAACAGCACTTGCAGATTCACAGCTTACAGTTTTATCACGTACAAAACCACCTTATGTCGCCAACGTCACCGTTTGTGGAAATTATTAAAAAACTGCTCAGGGCTGATATTATTTTGACGAGGTCCGTGAAACAGAAAAATTTTGTATCTTTTTTATTCGTGTAGTTGATAGTTTTTTGTTATTTCGAATAATAACTCTGCTATCCGTTTTTGATGTGGTTGACTTCACATTCAAACAACAGCAAGACTTGAACAGAAAATCGACCTTCTTGGTTTAAAAAGGCGATTGGTATGGGTTATAAAGGTTAAAATTTTACCATACCATAAAGGACCCCAATGCCGCCCCTCCAAATGTAATCATGGTTGAAAAGATGCTTGGTGACCAGATTTAGATCTGCATGCAAAAGATTTTTCAGAGATGTAACTTCATCTCATCATGTCGTATCTGAAAACCTAACATGGACTAATGATAGTGATTGATTAGTTACCCACGGTCGTTTCGTACCCACGGTACCATGGCAGGTCACCACGATTCGTATTCAGTCAGTCAAGTCGTTTGGTACCCTTACTAACTTAGTGTGTTTTTCCTATTGAGTGTGTTTAAAATAAGGTCGGTTTCTTATTTCAAATAGCAATATTCTCGTGTTAAATAAGTGTTTTACGCGTGGCGTCCATTTTTGATTAGCAACCACGAAGGAAAGGAATAAAAAAACACACTTACAGTAGCTGTTATCTGAAAAAGTCACGAGTATAAACAATGCATTGTTTTATCAAAAATCGTTTTTGTTAAGAAGATCACAAGTACAGTCAAATTAATTTTGCTTGTATCTTATTTGCTTAATTTTGCTGTAAACTTGTCGTGCCAAACAACCGACATCTTTTTACACGTTCTTGCATGAAGTATTTCGATTTAATGTATATTGGGACGGGTACGAATCGATCAACGCTTTGGGTGCGAATCGACTGAGAATAGATAAATGAACATGGCTTGGTGAACCAATATGACCGACTTTTTATTGACTCGATACACCAATATTTCATTTAATTAACTGATATGGTCAGCTTCCTATTATTTGAAAATGGGCCTGAATTTTACTGAATTGATATACCAACATGCCAAACTTCACACTGACTTGATAAACAATTCATTTATCCTTTGTTAATTGAGATGCCGTCAAAGCGTTTTTTTCAATAGTTTAATCCCTACTCTTTTAATTTCTGCAGACTGTGGACACCTACTAATTCAGGTTCTCCGGTTTCCCAGCGTCTGACAGGCCAAAATGGCACTGCAGCCATTTCGCAATGAACAGTTGAATTATTTTAAATTCGCTTCCATTGCTCTCAATGAATTCCCCAAGGCTTTACGTCAGACGTTTAAATCTATGTGGGACAACAACTTGAGACATCTTCCCGGTCATCAACCGTGGGATGATTCCGTTGCAGTGAGAAATTTGTTTTTGACTTTTGAGGGTGGCCCTGGAAAAACCAAAGTTCCCACAAACCTCTCCTATGAAGAATGGGATTGTACCAACCTGTTCCAGGCCACCATCTACGCCAATTCCTTTTCTATGCCCGACAGTAGAGGTCATCTCAAGACACTTGGTGAGCTACATGTAAAACCTCGTAAACTGGCTCCTGGAGTATTTCATACGTCCGTGGTGAGCCCAGGAGGGGACAATGCTGAAACTTTCGCCCTCGCCATTGATCAATTGCGACTTCTACGAAATGCACTTTGCCACTCGCACAGTTCTGAAATTGAGAAAACTAAATTTGATCATTACGTGCAGCTCGCTAAAGATGCATTTAAAGCCCTTGGTATCAAGACTGACCATGTTAATGTTATTGGTGGTTTAACAGAGTCAGAATTTCCCACAGATGAGGTTCGCAAATTGGAGGAACGTCTAAAAGAAGAATATCTAGCTTATGTAAGTTTTCTACAACAACAGAATCAGCAACAGCAGCAAAACCTGGAAGGAATGGCTTTAGTTATCGAGGGAATGGATTCAGCTATAAGAGAAATAAAGATTAGAGTGGAAATTATTCCAACAAAAGACGACGTCGCTCAGATAATGGAGCAAAAGATGAAAGATTTGAAACTATCACCAACTCAGGAAAGGCCAGGTAATATTGATAATAATAATTACAATATTATAATTCATTAATATTTCTAAAATAGTAATAATGGTAATGACAATGACAATGATGATTATGATTGAAGGATAGAAAGTAGAAGTCCAAATTGTATTTAGTTCAGTTTTACTTTATATTCTAAGATGGTCATGAGAGTCACCTGGACTTTCACATATGGAAAAACAAATGAAAGCAAAGGACGTAAAATGCTATTATTTATGCCCAAAAAACTTTTCTCGTAGTTGTGATGATGTTTTGGGATGTGAGAATGCAGTTGAGAAAGAAACCTGCAACTGTGATAAGGAAAGCCTTAAGCGGGTTCTGAACCTCCAAAAACGAGCAGCTAGAGTGATCCTGAATGCCCCCCCTCTAGCACCATCAGTCCCCTTGTTTAATGGGCGGAAATGGTTGCCTACACAGACGCTTTAATATCTAAATGTATTATTGCTTATAAGCGATAACAAGGTGACTTCCCTGTTTATCTTAACAATCTACTTAAATTAAACAGTAACATCCTTAGTAGACAAACCAGATACTGTAATTTTAACTTAACCTCTCCGAGGTATAATCGCGAAACAGAAGGAGGCAGAACTTTTACCGTCACAACTTGCTAAGCATGGAACAGTTTATCTTTGCCTGTAAGGCAAAGGGATTCAGTGGATTCTATAAAAAAAGCATTGTGGAATGAACTTTTTAAACAACAGCAGAATCTTGGTCATCGTTCTATTTAAGTTACTTGATGAACTGTGACATGATTATAATGTTATATTTTATATTTTAAATAGTTTAGTAGATTCCATAGTATCTGTATTCTTTGCTTTTTTTACCTTTTATTTTTTATAGCTTAGTATACTCATTTATCATTTTATAATTTATTTATTTATTATTTAGAGGGCCACAGGTTTATTAGCTCCGGCTATTTCGTGCTTACCCTCATAAAATAAATTCTTTACTAATTTACTTACTTACTTACTTACCTACTTACTTACTTACTTACTTACTTACTTACTTACTTACTTACTTACTTACTTACTTACTTACTTACTTACTTACTTACTTACTTACTTACTTACTTACTTACTTACTGTACTCTTCTGATTTCCCAGAGGAATACATGTCATCCCTTGAATCTGAAGATGCTGGCCAAAAGGTTCAATGTGAAGACATCCCCTACTCGATAAAAGTATTAGGAGACTATGTTGCAGCTGTTCGGTATATTCAGAGGGAGCTTGAAACCCAACTGCTTAGAGGAGAGGACTCAAGGGCGGCTGACAATTACTATTTCCTTGGCATAATGAAACATAAAGCGGGCGATTTTGCCTCCGCTCTTAAGCATTCTGAGCGTTCTCTTGATATAAGACGAAACCTACTCGGTGAAGAACACCCAGATACTGCCAACAGTTACTTTTCCATCGGAGCCACTCAACTTACCTTAGAAAACCTTCCCTCAGCTCTTCAGTCAGCACAACGTGCGCTGGAGATAAGACGAAAGCTGTTTGGAGAGGAACACCCAAGCACAGCAGACAGTCACTTCGCGGTAGGGGCAATTGAACTTTCACTGGACAACTACTCTTCTGCCCTCCAGTCTGCACAACGTGCGCTAGAGATAAGGCAAAAGCTGTTTGGAGAAGGACACCCAAGCACAGCAGACAGTCACTTCGCGGTAGGGGCAATTGAACTTTCATTGGACAACTACTCTTCTGCCCTCCAGTCTACACAACGTGCGCTAGAGATAAGACAAAAGCTGTTTGGAGAAGAACACCCAAGCACAGCAGACAGTCATTACGAAGTAGGGGCCGTTCAACGTTCATTAAACAACTACTCTTCCGCTCTCCAGTCTGCAAAACGTTCGTTAGAGATAAGAAAAAAGCTGTATGGAGAAGAACACCCAGGCACAGCAGACAGTCACTACGAAGTTGGGGCCGTTCAACTTTCATTAAACAACTACTCTTCCGCTCTCCAGTCTGCGCAACGTGCGTTAGAGATAAGACAAAAGCTGTTTGGAGAAGAACACCCAAGCACAGTATATAGTCACTTAGCAGTAGGGGTCGTTCAACTCTCGTTAAGAAACTACCCTTCCGCTCTTCAGTCCGCAGAACATGCATTGGAGATAAGCCAAAAGCTGTTTGGAGAAGAACACCCAAGCACAGCAGACAGTCACTACGAAATAGGGGCCGTTCAACTTTCATTAAACAACTACTCTTCCGCTCTCCAGTCTGCAAAACGTTCGTTAGAGATAAGACAAAAGCTGTTTGGAGATGAACACCCAGGCACAGCAGACAGTCACTACGAAGTTGGGGCCGTTCAACTTTCATTAAGCAACTACTCTTCCGCTCTCCAGTGTACGCAACGTGCGTTAGAGATAAGACAAAAGCTGTTTGGAGAAGAACACTCAAGCACAGTATATAGTCACTTAGCAGTAGGGGTCGTTCAACTCTCGTTAAGAAACTACCCTTCAGCTGTTCAGTTCGCAGAACATGCATTGGAGATAAGCCAAAAGCTGTTTGGAGAGGAACACCTAAGCACCGCAGACAGTTACTTTTTGGTAGGAGCCACTCAACTGAAGTTACATTACTCCTCCTCTGCCCTTCACTCTGTACAACGAGCAATGGAAATTAAAAAAAAGTTTTTCGGGGAAGAACACATAGCGATAGCTGACAGTTACTATTTATTGGGACTTATACAACATGAGCTAGGCGACTCTGCCGCAGCTCTTCAGTCTACAAACAAGGCACTTGACATGGCAAGAAAACTCCATGGAGAAGAACAACCCAGAATTGCCAACATTTACCATTCGATTGGCGTCTTACAGCATGAGTTAAACGATATTCCCACCTCTCTTCAGTCTCATCAGCGTGAGCTTGACATAAGACGAAAGTTACATGGGGACGAATGCCCGGAAATTGCCGACATTTACCATTCGATTGGCGTCTTACAGCGCGAGTTAGGGGACCCTTCTTCCTCTCTTCAGTCGCATCAGCGTGAGCTTGACATAAGACAGAAGTTCCCAGGAGAAGAACAGTCCAGAATTGCCGACATTTATCATTCGATTGGCGTCTTACAGTACGAGTTAAAGGAAGTTTCCTCCTCTCTTCAGTCGCATCAGTGTGAGCTTGACATAAGACAGAAGTTTCCAGGAGAAGAACGGTCCAGAATTGCCGACATTTACCATTCGATTGGCGTCTTACAGTACGAGTTAAAGGAAGTTTCCTCCTCTCTTCAGTCGCATCAGTGTGAGCTTGACATAAGACGAAAGTTACCTGGAGAAAAACAGTCCAGAATTGCCGACATTTACCACTCTATTGGCGTCTTACAGCGCGAGTTAGGGGACCCTTCTTCCTCTCTTCAGTCGCATCAGTGTGAGCTTGACATAAGACAGAAGTTTCCAGGAGAAGAACAGTCCAGAATTGCCGACATTTACCATTCGATTGGCGTCTTACAGTACGAGTTAAAAGAAGTTTCCTCCTCTCTTCAGTCGCATCAGTGTGAGCTTGACATAAGACGAAAGTTACCTGGAGAAAAACAGTCCAGAATTGCCGACATTTACCATTCGATTGGCGTCTTACAGCGCGAGTTAGGGGACCCTTCTTCCTCTCTTCAGTCGCATCAGTGTGAGCTTGACATAAGACAGAAGTTCCCAGGAGAAGAACAGTCCAGAATTGCCGACATTTACCATTCGATTGGCATCTTACAGCACGAGTTAAAGGACATTCCCTCGTGTCTTCAGTCTCATCAGCGTGAGCTTGACATAAGACGAAAGTTACATGGGGATGAATGCTCCGAAATTGCCGACATTTACCATTCGATTGGCATCTTACAGCGCGAGTTAGGGGACCCTTCTTCCTCTCTTCAGTCGCATCAGCGTGAGCTTGACATAAGACAGAAGTTCCCAGGAGAAGAACAGTCCAGAATTGCCGACATTTATCATTCGATTGGCGTCTTACAGTACGAGTTAAAGGAAGTTTCATCCTCTCTTCAGTCTCATCAGCGTGAGCTTGACATAAGACGAAAGTTACCCGGAGAAAAACAGTCCAGAATTGCCGACATTTGCCATTCGATTGGCGTCTTACAGTACGAGTTAAAGGATGTTTCCTCCTCTCTTCAGTCTCATCAGTGTGAGCTTGACATAAGACGAAAGTTACCCGGAGAAGAAGAGTCCAGAATTGCCGACATTTACCATTCGATTGGCGTCTTACAGCGCGAGTTAGGGGACCCTTCTTCCTCTCTTCAGTCGCATCAGTGTGAGCTTGACATAAGACAGAAGTTTCCGGGAGAAGAACAGTCCAGAATTGCCGACATTTACCATTCGATTGGCGTCTTACAGTACGAGTTAAAGGAAGTTTCCTCCTCTCTTCAGTCGCATCAGTGTGAGCTTGAAATAAGACGAAAGTTACCCGGAGAAGAACAGTCCAGAATTGCCGACATTTACCATTCGATTGGCGTCTTACAGCACGAGTTAAAGGACCTTCCCTCGTGTCTTCAGTCTCATCAGCGTGAGCTTGACTTAAGACGAAAGCTACCTGGAGAAGAACAGTCCAAAATTGCTGACATTTACAACTTGATTGGCGTTTTACAACACAAGCTAGGGGACTTTACCTCCGCCCTCGTTTCTTTTCAGTTTGCACTCAATATTAGACGCAAGCATTTTGGAGAGGAACACTCCGCCACAGCTCAAAGTTATTTTTCCGTCGGGGACACTCAAATCGTGTTAGGCGACTTTCACTCATCCCTATCATCCAAGGAAAAAGCACTTGAGATTAGACGCAACTTATTTGGAGAAGATGACGCAGTCACTGCTGATAGTTACATTTCGGTCGGAGTCATACATCTTAGGCTTCGTAACTATAGCTTGGCAATTCATTCTCTACAACGTGGTCTTGAAATAAGGCTGAAAGTATGTGGGGAAGTACACTTAGATACAGCTGAAAGTTACTTTTTACTCGGAAAAACACAAAACGAGTCAGGTGACTTTGACCCAGCTCTTAAGTCTGTACATAGTGCGCTTCATATCCATAGGAAACTGCTCGGGGAGGACGACCGAATTACTGCTTCAAGTTACCACTTACTCGGGGTCATTCAATGTAAGGTGGGTGACTTCAAGTCTGCAATTCAATCATTACAGCGTGAGCTTAGCATCATGCGTGAACTCATCGGAGAAGATAATTTAAGCGTTGCTGACATATACCGCTTAATTGGCATCACACAGGACAAGTTGGGTGACTTTCCGGCTTCCCTTCAGTCGCATCAACGCGAGCTTGACATACGAAGGAAATTACTTGAAGAAAAAGAAGGAGAAGACCCAAGCATTGCGGACAGTTACACAGCAATCGGTTTGGCACAACATAAGCTAGGTGACTTTACTTCGGCTCATCAGTCTGCTCATCGGGCGCTGGAAATCAGAAAAATACTTTTCGGGGATGAACACTCAGACACCGCCTACAGTTACCAATTTCTCGCCGTCGTGAAAGGTGCATTAGGCGACTCTGACTCAGCTCGTCGGCTGGAACAGTGTGCCAATGATATCAGGAAAAGGCTATCCTCGATTTAATGAATCATTAACTCACACATGACAGCTACAATTCATTCCTTGTTGCCAAATGTAAAATTTGTGTGAACCATATGCCCTTAAAATCAGATTGGAACACTGAAAAATAGTCTTTTATCAGCATCTGTACAGGATGCCATGCGACAGTTGACTTTCGCTCATTTCTTGAATCTCCGCAGTGTGATGCAGAGTCGCTAAAACCATAAAGAAAAGCACTCGTCGAGGAATGCTTTGGAGAACAATCATAAGCCTTTGAATAGAACTTGTGGACCACTTAAGACTGGTTTATCAAAAATACTCAGGTGTATTCAAAACTATTGTCATCCAAAATGCTCTGGAAGTAAAATCATAAAGAAAAGAACCTCAAAGTAAGTACCTTCACATTATAAACTCTGTACACAATGCGCTACACTCAATCGCAGTCTTCTGAGTTTGGTGATTCGCGTGCCCACAGCTAGAAAATTTTTTTTAGTAATTTTTAACAATTTTTACCAGATATTTCGGAAAATAGTGCTGAAAATGAGTTTAAATAGGAAACCAGTACTTTCTGAAATTACAATAATCTAAGTTTTGTAACTTTGAGTTTAGAAAGATGAGGTGTAAATAGTTTAAGATAAGCCCCACACAAGTATACACAAGAGTAACGAATTTCGCAGGCGAGGAAATTAAGTGGGAGCGCAGATTTATGCATTAACACTGATTTCTTATAATACATAGAGAGCTCTTTTTCAGGAGTTGAAGGGATTCCCTCGCGTTTGAATTATTCGTCGAGCGCAAGTAAAATGTTTTCAAGGGATCACGCCCTTATTGACAAAATCGTCTCATAATTTTCTAATTTTGACGAAGTCGTCTCATAATTTTTCAATTTTGACGACTTCTCACAGCTTTCTGTTGCTCTAAAGGATTTATTGCCGTTACTTAGCTATTCCTGTATACAAGATCGCTTTTCGGCTGACTGTCGTCAAAATAAAACAAGATTAATTTCTAAAAGTAAACGGCATCTACAGTAACAGTTTCGAAAAGAGCCAACAATAACTCAAAGTGAACGGTACGAGAGAGGAATCGAGTGAGATAGGAACCAACTTAGCATTAGCTTTTGTTTTGTATGTCTTCAAAAAGCGAAACCAACGGTAAACCCATGCTATTGCCTATGCTCGAGCAAGTGAGGTTAGCTAGTAGTTTATAATATGACACTAGTTCGGGACAAACGTGTTTATTTTGAATTTGAATAAAGGGGTAAGTTTCTAAAGAAACTGTGGTGCTGCGTCGGTGGAAGAGTATAGCAGGTAATTTAGTGTTAACAACTGGGTTGAAAACGTAAATTAGCCACCGTTAAAGAGTAAAAAAGCTGACGTTTCGAGCGTCAATCGCTCTGACGAAGGGCCAACGCTCGAAACGTCAGCTTTTTTACCCTTTACAGTGGCTAATATACGTTTTCAACTCAGTTGTTAACACTAAATTACCTGCTATTTTTTAATTTGCCGGTTTTCGCGATCAAAACCACACGACTTAGGACCGTTTCTTTGTAAATAAGAGCCAAGTATAACGCTCGGATTTACCTCAAGACTATCTTGGCATACAATAATAACTTCTTACGAAGGGGGGGAATACTGGCCCTCGGTCGTTTTTTAACGGACTGAGCGCGTACGGCCCTTACGCCCGATCAGAAAGAAATTGGTATTTTTACGAGGTTTGCCGTATTTTGACGAGCCCGTTAGGCGAGTTGAAATATAAATTATCCGAAAAAATTTTTAGCGATACTGCACACCAAAGCGTCTAATCAGTTATTTATCATCCAAATGCTTTATCTCATATGCTTTACTTCTGAGGCGGAAAAAGCGGTTTGTGATAGGTCTTGCGTTACGCTCGCGTCGGATTGGCTCATGAGATTTATCTCTGTCAAACAAGGTTTGAAAAAGATTGAATTTTGTTTTGTGATCGTTGTTGTCAAATCGTACGCATTAAGTAAAAAGTAAGTAAAAAATTGTCTACTCATAGACTACTCATTCAAAGAGGTTCCCTTGGAATTCAGATCCTCCCGAATCTTCTTACTAAGTTCAGTTACTGTCATCACTTCCGCTCGCCGTTCAAAAAGGCTTGATGGAAATATTCACGCAATTTTCACTCATCGTTAACTCGCCACACACTTGATTGACTTAATGTGGCGAGAAACATCCGTGGATTACAGAGCGATGTTCACCGCGAAAAGCGAATTTCCGATAGGGTGTATTTTCTATATCAATACTACTTTATGGATGTTTGAAAAGTAATAGAAGAGATGTCATTAACGATTTACTGGAACGGAGTGAATTTTTCTAGCTCCGTTGACGAAATGGTGCATTTTGTCTCAGGACACGTCTGAGAAAAGGAAGTCAAACCATGTGGAAACGGCACTGATTGAAAAACAAATTAGACCACTCAAAAGATTTTTCCCACCCTATAACCAGTGGGAAAAGAAATTGTTTTCGTCTGCGCTTTATTCGAGATGTTACGAAAAGCGGGAATGGGAAATGAGGAATGAGTGTTGTGAAAAGTTTCCACGCAAATATTGATTTTCTAGATTTATTATGACTTTAATTGTGTATTAAGTGAGTTGTGATTTCGTTACCGTTATAGTACAGAGTTAACTTTACAATTAGAAGATAACTGTAATTGGGAGCGGCATAGGGTAATCAAATTAATTCTTCGAGCAGTGATGTATGAAACTAGGTATTTGCAGGGCGTTTAAGTGCGTAGGAACCTAACAGCTTGATTGTCAAGTAAAGCCATGTTTAATAGGAAATAAGTGCCCACGAATCGTTGTAGAACGTGGGTGAATCTTGAATACCATACGGAATTATGTATCTGGGTGTGGATTTCATTAGCTAATAAATGTAACATTTTTGTAACCCTAGGATTAGATTGTAATAGGGTAGATAGATCGCAGAACGGAATATGTAATGCTGAATTGTCGTAAATAAAGCCTGAATCAAGAGAAAGTATACAGTCCAAGATTACTGAACCAGCGTGTGCGGAATTCTCAGCAATGCAAGTGGGAAATTCTGCGAAAATGGGAAATTGAAAATGAGAAATTGAAAATGGGAAATTAAGTGCCTTTTTTAAATTTATATTTATTATGCAGAATAAAAATTTTTCAGCAGCGATTATCGATATCCACGCTTTCTTTTAATACGTTCAGAGATAACATTAAAAAAAAAGAATAAATAGATGATAATGTAAGAAGTGATAGACGACAACTAAAGAATGTTGTAAAAACAAATTTTATTCTTTTCTTTAACAAGAGATAGGTTGAATTAAACTTGTTGAGATGAAAGGGCTATTTAAAATTTAAAAAAATTTAAATTTAAACTTTAAAATTGATAAATTGGAAGGTTTAACGAAGTTAGCCGTTAATTTTTCAGAATTCAAGTCACCTCTCAACTCCGAACGACAAATGAACCCACAGTTGAATGTCCATTTAAGAAAAAGTTTTCATTATGTTTTTCGAAAGTAGTGGAGACTTGCTAAGTAGTAAAATTTCGATCACAAATTGCCTTACTTTTCAAGCTAGTGGCTTCGGCGTAGCTGAAAAATTCATATCAAAGCATAATTTTTACGTTAACGACCATAAGACGCGCCTTCCAGATGATGAATCTATCAGGTTTCGAGTGCTAATTTGCATGAACATCGGTGGCCAGTGTGCAGCAATTCCTTAACTTCCAAAGGAACGAACGAACGAGCGTATTTCCGCGAAAAAATGGAGGCTATTTGTTTATTATCCTTCAAATATTATTTGCGAATTACAGAGAAAAATGTTTGTGAACGGTTAACCGTTCATTGCGTGGGATGTTCACTTTCTAGTGTTCACTGATACGATTTTGTAAACAAACAAACAAACATGTCCCTTCTTTTTTAATAACCCCAAAATGCTCTCTCATCTTAAATTAGTTTTAAACGAAGACATCGTAATGGACGTAGAACTTGAAGATTAGGGAATATCACTTGGGGTGTGTCCTCGATTATGATCCATCAAATATTTTTGCTGCACACGACTGGTCTAAACGCATCACGTTGACAAATATTACCTAACTGAAACTGGGGGATATCCGAGGATATCACCCAAGTGATACCCCCCAATTTTCAAACCTTACGTCCACTACGATAAGTCTTCGTTTGCAATTTAATTTAAGATGAGAAAATTTATGGTCGTTACCTTCATAAGGTCGTACCAGAGAAGACCCAAAAGAAAACATCCCAAGCAGAAAACAATAAACTGTTCGTAATATTTTTTCACGCGCGTTGTTAAATATTGAAGAATGAGAAACTCAATAGCCACTATTTTTCGTGAAAGTTTTACTTATATATTTTTTCTTGGACATTATCTGTTCCTTGACGCTCACTTCTTTTCTTTTCATCAATTTATTTGGGTCCTTGACTTTTTCCCTTGAACGTTGTTGAAAGAGAACGTGGATATCGATATAAAATATCTGTTACTCATTATAAACAATAAATCTAAAACAAAAACATTGAAAAAAAAATTCATTTCTTATTTTCAATTTCCCATTCCATTTTCCCATTCTACATTTCCAATCTGCATTTCCCATTCCACATTCTCCATTCCACGTTTTTCGTTCCCCATTCCCGCTTTTAGTAACATCCGATTTATACTGGAAGAAAATAGAGATTCCTCTTGAGCTTGCTCTCGCGTCAAAAATTCGAATGTCAGATAATTATGACTTCGTCATACACGCTTCCAGATCAAGTCCGATCTAATATTTCGGTAACTCTGCAGTTATCAACAACTGCGTTTATAATACTTCGCTAGTCGAGGCCAGCGAACTCGACAGCAACCCGCTGCTTTATAAGACGATAAACTTTGCTTGGAAACTTAAAGATATGTATTTGACATTTCAGTGATAAATATATTATCTTACTGTGGTAGTTATTACAATGTTACTTGTATGATTTCAAATATCAAGTATCATTATCAAATTAAATATTTTTGGCTGTCCTGGCTGATACTTGTCAGAATGTCAGAGTGGTTTTGAAAAATCATTCTGAGATTTTACCAAACCAAACAATTATTTGGTTAAATACTTAAAGGGTCGGTTATTCAAACAAAGTTCAGCCGTTGTTTAACAAAACTGCATCCCAAACAATCCACAATTGAGCTGGACCTTTTATCTGAATATCTATTTTTTGGAACAGTGTCAAGAGGGCTGAGAGCTAACAGTGGAAGGACATTTATTCATTCCGCAAAACCGTTGATTGGGTTAGACTTCGTAATTAACTGGCCCAGGGCAGTTGTTCCCCTGGCTGTTCAGTGACCAGTATAATTAATTTGACAGAGATTAAACGTTTGCAGTCAATATGCATAAATTTATTCCAATGACTTTGGATTTAGTTCCAAAGTATAAAGTGTATTGTAACAGCGGTTAAGCAAAATAAAGTGAGTTCTCCTGGACTTTCTCTTCTCTCGATCCTAAACTGCAATGACGCAGAGAGGTGTAAAGGACCCTTAACAGAAAAAGAGTGCGGAAAAGCGGCAACGTCAGAAATTATCCTATAAAATGAAAGCGAACTTACGAGCACAAACCCAGCTGCTAAGTTTCCATGACAACCAATTTTCCCCAAAGATCATCAACACTTACATTTATATTTCCAGGGAAAGCATTGGCACTTGTGTTTACATGCAGTTTCAATAGAAATGGTCATCAAAGTACCGACATACAGGGGTATAATGAAAGGCAAAGTATTAAAAAAAATGAATTGTTGGCAATTCAAAAACTACTGTGGCTTTTCTATATTTTTGAAATACTAGAACGAAAGAACCTGAATAAATCGAAAATGATTAAACATGAAAAGTGTATGCGTAAATGTGTTCCAAACAAACACACGGAAAAATCACAAAATTTCTCCTAATAAAGTGCAAGTTATGCAATAATTGACATTGGCGGAGGTGCACATGAAGTGATCAGTAATCTTGATAGATCTCTTGGGTCCCGATATTTCCTTTACGTTATGAATGAAAGGACAGATTTTGTCTCGCGTGCGAACGCACTTGAAGGTTTTACGTTGGTCATTGGTTTGAAATGAACCTCTGACCACAAAGTTACGTTGCCTGTGTTTTTGCCACGTTTGAATGAGATTAATGGACCTTAAAAAAAGATATTTTCAGTCACTGAATCGTTTTAAAGTAATTTAAAGTTTTTAAGAATGAGAGATTTAAATGCGTGGTTGTGAGGCTGAAATGTGAGAGTGAATGGATTGCGAT